CTACGGAATGCCGGTTAGATCGAGAGTGGGCGAGATGTTTCGTCACTCTGGTGCAGCGTCTTATTGATGGTAGCGGGGTGGAATTGAGGGTATATGGAGAACCCCCCCCCCCCCCCACACACACACACACTTGTTTGTGCTGTATAAAGTTCACTGTAGCAGCCGTGCACGAGAGATTCCGCTTAAGTCATTCTACGATTGCTAAGACCACCGTCGGGGTTCCGTCCGTTGTAGTGGTATTGCTAGTGCAGGTGAGTAAGATCGTGTTGCTGAGAGGTTGCCCTGTGTTACAGTGAGATGGATGGTGTTGCTGTTAGTTTGCATACTGATGGTTGTTACGTGCCTCATGTTACACTACTGTGTAATTGTGACAGGGGCATATTACGGTATGGTCGAACTGTACTTGCTACAAGTGCTCCGATGATGATGTGAATCTCAAGATAAGGTGTGTCTGCTTAGGCGCCTTGAGATACTATCGCCAACGGTCTGCTGGCTCAAGTTTCCGTCAAAATCTCCCAAATGCTACGCAATGTGACGCATTAATATATTGTGAAGCAGTGTACTATAAAGAATTATTATACCTTGAATGAATATCTATAAAAACGAAGATCCCGAATGAATTTAAGACGTCTTAAGGCGCAGGTTGAGTTGAGCAAAATGTCGCGCTAGTCGTTATTTGTGCGGTGTTTAGGAGCTATCTACTTTTTATTTAAAAGATATATCAACAAATAAAAAACACATTATATTTCTACATAATCTTGATTCCATAAAAGCTATATCCAATTTTTTTTTAAAGGAATAAATATTAATATAATCTCCTTACAACGAAACCACATAAATGTGAAATTATTATTGATAACATGCATCTCCTCGTAAAGTAAGTATTATTTTATTTTGCGATTTACACCAATGTATAGGCAATTTATTAATGAACATTTCTATAGTAAAATTTTTTTCAAAAGACCAAAATTTGATTTTATTAAGAAATTATTTTAAAATCTGGGCGTATTCACTGCTCACGGGCTTGCTGGAGGCAGTGAGCCCTGAGCTCTTCGACGTGGAACCCGTGTCGTTAGAGAGTCTGCCAGCGCCGTGTGCGCTCACGTCATCTTATCAGTCGATAATATTATTACTTATTAGGTTATTTATAGGTAGTATTATTTCTTTGTTTTGGGTATAATTTTTCGTATTAGTTATACATATATTTGTTGTGTTTTTTACTGCGCGGTGAAGCTTTTTTCGTGTATTTTCTTTGAAGTAAATGCAATCCATAATTAAAATTTCGACAAATATTATAATTTACACTCTAAAAGGCTAATTCAATATTATCACCCAACTACAATATCTTATTATGTATAGTACTGCCTCGTTGGTCTAGTGGTTGTAGTAGTGCGACTGCAGATCATGAGGTCCCGGGTTCGAATCCTGGGTCGGGCCAAAAAGTCAGTTATGAGTTTTCATTTATGTTCTAAGTTATAATTAGTATTACTAAGTTATAGTTTTTTGCTAAAATATAGTATATTATTTATTGCTTGTTTTTTCTTCTTTTTCAAAAAATAATTGAGTAAATAAGGTGTTCTATACTTATAATTCGGTAAAAAGTATCTAAGTAGGTACTAATATACCTACTTTTTACTATTAACTAAAAATTTTTAAAACTAAATTTAACTAAAAAGACTAAACTGACCATTTATTTTTTAACTCAAAACAGGACATGGGTTTATTTATACTCTAAAAACTATAACTTTATACAATTAGTGTTCACTGTAAAATTATATACGGTATAGACGGTAATTATTAAATGCAACATATTTTTTTAAATTATTAATTACATTTGTCAGTGGATTAAATTTGCTTTAATAAAGTTGGTGATGATTTTAAAGAAAAATAAAATTCTGCTCAAGTTTTTTATTGTTATCTTTGTTAACAACATCGCCTTTAGAACTCTGGAACCGTAAGTGTTTCTTTCATACGTCCACAATTTATTCAAAATAAAAAAAAATACTCTTTCTACCGGAGCATTTGTACCAGGTAGACATAAAATATATTCGATTAAAAAAAATTATGTTGAAGATTGTTGACTTTGAATACTTCCATCCAACGAGTTACGGGACAATTTTGTGTCCCGGAGCTTTGTTTGGGGACAATGGGACAGGTGACCGAGAAAAGGCACAGTCCCGTTCAAAACGGGAAGTATGGTCACTTTAGCTATAACCCAGCGACGGCTCCGTGGCGTAGTGGCTTAGCAATCAGTTGTTGCGCTGGGGGCCGCGGGTTCGAATCTCGCACGGAACAAGTATTTGTATGGCCTACAAATAATTGTTCCGGGTCTGGATGTTTGTCCTTGTGCAATTTATGTTTGTAAACTGCCTCCACGACACAGGAGAAAATCCTAGTGTGGGGGTAACGTTTTTTTACAATTGAAATTGAAAGATTGAACCCTTATACTTCTTGTTGATTTTTGTATTACCTTTATTAAAGTTACCCTTATTTATAAATAAATATAATTACGTATTTAGAAATAAAATTGATTTTCATCCTCATCAATCATTGGGGCGAGGATAATGTCTGCCAGCATAAGTAATAAGCAGGCTAAGTTACAAGGTGCTCAGTTCAAAAATTTGTAGGTAGGATATGTTACTTTTCAATACGTGACACGTAAAAATTAACAATAATCAAAAACACATCTACGAAACATCCTATTTATTTATTTATTCTTTATTGCACCAAATATTTGTACAAAAGGCGAGCTATCTATTTATTTACCTATAGTGAATAGGTATCTTTTAAACTGACAATTTTCAATGCTTCATTTTTAATATATAATTAATTATAAAATTTCATAATAAGATAATATATGAAAATACATAATTCTAATATAATGCAACTAATATACCGAATAAAAAAATTAAAATACATTTATCGTTGTACGCTGTGTGTATTTCCATAAATTAGTTTTGAGCATTTGCCGCGGCGCGCCGGCGGCAAATGCTCAAGGTCGTTCGCATGGAGTAGCCCCTTAATAAACAAGTATCCAAGTCAAAAATCTGACTGACTTGACAAGTGACAACTGACAACTTGACATTGACGCTTGGCAAAATTATGACTGTCAAAAGAAAAATATAACCTCATAATTAATGAACTTATAAATCGTAGTATTAATATTAAAGTTTAATTTCGTTTTGCTATAAAAGTGTGTACAAATAAATAAAAATGAGATTAAGTCCTCCCTTATTTTCGGCTCCATTTAATAAATCTGCTAGAAGACCACAAAGGGAGCCAGTACCTTTTCAAATGTTATTACCATTGGAGCTCAAAAAAACAGTATCTGGAAAAGGAGACAAACTTAGGGAAGCCGCTTGTATGCAAGAAATGGCTATAATGTTTGCGTGTTTCAAAAAAAACGACTTTAATCAACAAGAATGTTTAAAAGAAGTAACCGCTTTTCAAGGTTGTTATCGTGAATATAGTGATAAAGTCGCAACACAAAGAGAACAAGGAAAAAAAGGTATCTTGGTACCTGGAGAGAAGAAGTTGACACATAGACAGTTAAATCAATTATTGAAAGCATTTCCCCCAAAAAAATAATAACCTAAAAACGTAAAAATAGATGTAATTTATTTGTATAATTTATGTAGTATCAATAAAATAATTCTTAATATTTATATGGAGTTTTTTATGTTGGATTTGGTTGGTTGTTTTAATATTCTCTTAAATTATTCTGCTTTTTGCTGCAAGACATTTTTACGTGGTAGAGCCACACTGCAGGTATGTTATGGTTGTAGTGTGAATTGATCAGCTCAGCTAAAGGACTACACTTTCTTGAAATACCAGTGTAAAATAGCAGCTTAATGCTGCTGTATTTCATATATTGAGTTTAGGGAACCATCTTAGTCTTAAATGGTGACAATGCATCTGCATTTTGATTTTTAATAATTGAAAAATATGTGTATGTCTATGGGCCACAGCATCCATTAAAACCATCAAGCGGACTGTTTGCTTGTTTGTCATTCCTATACTATAAAAAAAGTAGTTTGAAGATATGTATTTGTTGTTTCTGTAGTCTAAAACTACTATATGTTGCATTTCTTTGCATAAAATATGCAAAGAAATGCAACATCTACCACAGGGAGTGCTCTGAGGAATTGTTCCGACTAATTCCAGCTGCTCAATTTCACCATTGCACATCATGACAAAACTTACGATACCATTCATACCATCTGGATGATTGGCGGTCCAGCACTGTACAATTTAGAAGTTTTCTTCCTCGCACAACTTCCTTGTGAAATTGAATACCATCAGCGATTTTTCTGGACCAATATGATGTAGGAACCTTCAAGAAAAGAATGTACTCCTTTTTAAAAGGCCGGCAACGCATCTGCAATTCCCCTGTTATTGCAATTGGTAATGGGTGGTGGTAGTCACCATCAGATGAGCCACATGCACGTTTGCCCCCTCCTAAAAAAAAGTAAACAGCTTCATGAATTTTGAAATGGTAGACATTGTAAAATTTGCCTACAATTATGGAACATAGACTAAGTTTTTTAATAAGTATCAATATAATCATTATGAAAGAGAAACAATGTACCATTTTATTAATTAAAAGAAGAAACTACAGTTGGGCTTATTGATTTGAAAAAATATCTAACTGTTTTGGATATATTATATATACATATATTGCAATTTGAAGATGTTAAAATAAATTTTTATCCTTAGGGACTCAATTAATAAACCAAATAGGTATATTAATTTTTACACATCACAGCTTTTTATTATACTGGCGGTTCATACTCATCAAATAGGCGAAACAGGTAATAGGGTAATGGTACCTGCTACACTTCAATCCCTATCATAAAGTAAACTTGTAAAAATATATATTATATAAAAAATTTGTAAATTATTAAATAAACCACATAAATGCTTTAATTTATAATATATTTAAAATAGCAATTTGTCAATTCTTAACAAACAAGTAAAAAATATAACATAGCACAAAATTTTCACTTTGCGGCAGTGTGAATCCATTGCGGTGAGGACACTTGAAGCTCTATGCGTCGGACTGTTATCAATTCATCATCAACTTCATGGACATTGTAAAATCTTTCCAATTCCTCTATAGCTTTATCTTCAAGCTAAAAGCATAAAAAGTAATTTTTTAGAAACTTACATAAGAAAAAAAATGCTGCTGCTGGAGCTGGCCTATGTTTGAGAATACTGTTGGAGTTCATCGTCCTTGCTTTGATTTATAATAAGAAAATACTTATTAGGTACTATTTTGACCCATACCATTCATTCAAGCAATTGACACTGTAAAATACTGAATTCCTTGTATAGTAGCTAAAGCTTCCATTATTTTAATACAGTAAGAACTTTTTTACCGACTTCAAAAAGGAGGAGGTACTCAATTCGACTTGTATGTTTTTTTTGTGTACCTCATAACTTTTTTCTAGGTGAACAGATTTCGATGATTCTTTTTTTATTTGGAAGCTGGACCAGTAGTTTTTGAGTTATCCTCAATAATTTATATTGAAGTCGGTTGTACATTTTTAATTTTACCACTTGGTTAACTATTATAAGCCAGTGATTGACTAGAATATCACACTTGATGGTAAGTAGTGAAGTAGCCGAAGACGGCAAAATGAACTAACTTACTTTAACAAATGCCTATTCACTCTCGCATTTAAAAACTTTTCTATCTACTACTTTGAATAATATGCACATTCTTTTTTGTTTGTGTTCTTACAAAATAATAATAATAATCTTTATTGATAAACATATTACATTGGCATATATTTACAATGGTCAACAGCCCCTAAACTAAGATATCATACCTGTATTTTAGGGTCCGATCTTCAGGATAAAATGTTAATAAATAACAATGATTGCAAATATTCTTTAAATTTTTTATTGGTCTTTCTGATCAAAGTGCATATTTTTTATTTTTTAAAATTCATTTAACCTCGAAAATTACGGGTTTTGTGCAACTTTTGTACAAATGCTAAACAGTGGTTTAGTTGTTAGAGGGAGGGACACATGACTTGAATGAAAAATACCACTTTAAAGCTAAATATTTCGCAAACGGACCCCTGAATCGAAAAGATGTTCGTCCATATCCCCAGTGTTTTTGAAAGACCTATCCAACAATACCCCACACGGGGAAATAGACAGGTAAAAAAAAAATTATCATACACAGGCCACTCTTATACGTACACCATGCACACAAACACACAACTTATTAAAAACTGATATTTTGCATGTGATACAGTGGACCTATTCATATATACAATATGTAACAAAAACCCTGTGGTTCCTGTAAAGTACGTTATCAGGTTATACAAATCCCTATATAATAATGTTGCAACCACATGGCTGCCTTTCCTGACGGCGGCTGCCGAAATCGGAAAGCTACCATACATAATACTATATTTTATTACCTGTGTTAGTGCAAGGGGCTTTGTCATTATCCTAGAAAAGTCATCTTTCTGCTTCCTTTGATCAGCTAATATTTGATTGAATTCAACAGCTTTAGCTTTAGGACTACTATTAGCGACAGGCACTTCACAAATTTTCCAGGGATTCTTAGGTTTGTCTGGCGGGCTGCCTATGTTCAATTTATTAGTCAAGTAAATATCTAGATTTTGCGGTCCAGGCAAATCGTTGCCTTGCATGGCCAACTTCTTCCGTTGCTTTTGTGAAAGCTTAGGCCCAATATGACTTACAACTACATTGCACTGCGGGCTCCATCTTGATTCAGCAAGTGTTGACTCTTTAGGGGACTCTGACACACGGGAAATACTAGGCACATTATAGTCTCTTATTGGTGAACTCGTTGCACTGAACGAATTGCTTTTACTTAGTTTAACAAATGATTCCGTGGGGTTTTCGTTTAAAATGTCTTTAGCAGTTGTTATGGCTTTGAGCCTTGCTTGTATGACTTTTTGTTGCTTTTGTTGTGCAGATGGTACTTCTATCCATCTGTCTTTTTTCTCGTGCTTTTTCTCAGCTTCCTTTCCTATAGAACTTAGAGACAGTGTAACATCTCCAGAGGTTTCGTTAGATAAGTCCAGTGATGTAACTGAGCTTACGGATTCATATCTCATCCTTGCCTTTTCGCTGTCTGTATACTCAATTTTTTTAGTATGTTTATTTTTCTTTTTAGTACTTTCTATTAGACTATCGTCCTTCTTTAAATCTTCATCAATTATATTTAGATCTACAGGGCAAGTTTTCGCACATTCTTCAATTACATCATCATTTGGCGAGTTAAAGTAAGGCGTAATGATACGAGACGACATAATTGGATTGAATTTGCAATAGTATTTTGTTATATCCTCCAAGACAGCTTCCTCTAATAGATCGAGTGATCGATTTTCGAGTATGTTGCAGATGTTAAGTGAAATGAATTCCATACAACATTGTTTGAGTTGTAACGCGTTATATGTGTGAGCGAATTGACAAAGCTCAGCGCAATTTTTCAATGTTATTAGGCTTGCCAACGTGACTTCGCACATTTCTCTCAGTCGAATTATGAACAATTGGTCAGCGACAATAAGCAAGCTACAAATAAAATCGATATTGTCTGAATTTTGAACTTCTGGACATAAGTCCGTGTAGAGAAAGTTGATAATTGGTAGGAGTATTCCATAGTTTATTGGTAGTGTAACTGTCGACATTAGTTTACTCTGCAAAGAAATATTTAAAAAATGAGAAGAAATTTTTATATTGGATTTACATATATTATAATAAAATCATATAATAATACAATATACCTGATGGTAAGTGGGTACTATAGTCCATACACCTACACATAGCATCAATTAAGAATCAAAATAGAGATGTGTTATTAACCCTGAAGACTAAGATGGAATTTTTGTAATTATTAGCAAAAAGGGTCTCCAATTTTCTACACTCACTCTTGTTTTCTTGTTTTTTTTTTTACCTCTACACTAGGAATTTCTCCTGTATCGTGGGGGCAGATTGCATACATAAATTTCACAAGGACAAACATCCAGACCCGGGATTCCAACCCACGGCCCTTGATGCTGCAACTTATTGCTAAGCCACGGAGCCGTCACTATATGAAACACACCAGCGTTATGCTGCTATTTTAGCAGAGTGAGCCCTTCAAGAGTCGAGCCGATTCATTCGTGTTGCAGCTTTAATACAGTTGCAGTGTGGTTCTACCAATATACTGACACTCGGTCATCCTCACTTTAATGCTTCAGCCAAATCAAGGTCACCAATAACCTTTTAGCACGCCTTTCCACCTAATCTAACACGCTACGCTAGTTGGCATTTGATTAGATGGAAAGGCGTGTGACAGCAGAATTCTATGAAAAACTTGCGCTTTATAACTTTACAAAGTACAAAAAAACTAAAAAAATATAATTTTGTGTAGTGTACATTTATACAGAAAATTGATAATATGCAATTTCATGGTATATGCCAACAGAGACGAAATCTATTGTTACCCAAATTTTAGATAATTAAAAATAACTACTATTAGTAGTTGAATTACCTCCGTCCAGGAATGCATGAACATTCCATGGAAATATTCAAGTCTTGCCGCCAGGATACATTTGTGGGCTGGTATGAGTGTGCCGTCTTTAGAACACACGTTAGTGTCGACCAGTTCCGGGAACGACTCGCGATCCCAGCATGGCGGAGCGTTCTTAGTGTAAGTGGCGCTGTCTTTTAAATAAATTGTACCGTCCCTGTAACTATTGCAAATGGCACATAAGACACTATCGTTTTGCGATATTGATAACACTTTAAATTATTGAATAAATATAAAGTTATTTTTGTATTATTGGAGTGAGGAATGAATTAACATTCCACCACATGCGAGCTGTAAATGACTACTTTTGAGAAGTTTTTTTTTTATAGAATAAGGATACATACGAGCACACAGTCCACCTGATGGTAACTGGATGCTGTGGCCCATAGACATCTACATCTAGAACTAAGATGGAATGCCTCGTTTCCAGTAAAAGGGTCTCCGGTTCTCTACACTCACCATACGAAAAACAGCAGTGTTACTTTTTTACGCTGGTATTCTGTGTCAGCGTGGTCCTTCCCCGGTCGAGCCGACCCAATCGTGCCACAACCATAATATAGTTGCAGCTTACGTAAACCACGTAAAATCTTTCATTCGGGATAAAAAAAAACCGGCAAAGTGCGAGTCGGACTAGCGCACCGAGGGTTCTGAACAAATCTGTAGGTATATAAGTTTAAAATTATTAAAAATATTTTTATTATATGATGTAACTAAAAATTTATGCTTTTCGCAATTTATCCTTTATCTGTGCTATAAAACGTTGCTTCGTACCAAATTTCAAGATTCTGAGTTCACGGGAAGTACCCTGTAGGTTTTGATTCTCTTGCGAATGTCGAAAATTTACGGCATAAACGGCTGTATCTTTTGATTGCGTTGGCTTAGAAGTTTGATTTTTTCACAGCTCTAAGAAACAGTAGACTTGAGTATTTGATATGAATTTGAACTTGATACCTCCACGCGTTCCTGAGAAAAAGGGTCTTGACAGACAGACAGGTGGACAATAAACTGATCCTATAAGGGTTCCGTTTTTTTTCTTTTGGGGTACGGAACCCTAAAAATTGGATGGGTTATTTCTTCACTTACTCTTGACAAAATAACATAACAGATCAAAAGGTAAGTGGTTACTACAGATCATGGACATCTGCAACCAACTTAAAAGGGAGGCCGTTGATAAATTGTCGACCCTGAAGACTATGATTAAAGGCGTTCATATACTTTCTTACTCTCTATACAGCAGCTTGAACGCAGAGATAATTAAGAGGGTTATAACTACCTTACAAACTCTTAGATAAAAGAGGACACTACATCTATTACAGCCTATAAAAGTTCACTGCTGAACATAGGTCTCCCCAATAGATTGCCTCATAGGGGGATTTTGCTATAGTGCTACGCTTGGCAGGCGGGTTGGCAACCGCATTTTTTTTATTCATCTGTTATCAGAAAAATGCTGCCGAACATCTGTTTTCGTTTGTTTCCCTCTGACGCCTCTTACGACACCGACTGGTCGATATGGGGTAATGGGTATTCTTACACCGCCACTACACAATTACTACTATACTTTACTATATTCAATGATACAAACCAAGAAAATTGTAATGTAATTAAATTAAAAACCTACTAGTATTTATCAAGTAGTTTATGTAAACTCATAACTTGCAGTCTTTTAGCCGTGGCTTGCACGAGCTTCACCGGGTCGCAGTGCAAATGGGTGCGTGTGGGCGTGGACTCTGTACTGCGGCGGTTTCGACGTTTGCTCTTCTCGTTCTGTTGTTTGTACACTTCGAAGGCAGTTACTTCCATTGGATTTTCTGTTGAACCAATATAAAGTCGACTTTAAATTAAATCTTTTTGTCCTGGCCACAGGCCTCCTCCCATTATTAAGAAAGTTTTATGGCAAGGAGTCCACCGCGCTACCCCAATGTTTGTTGACACTTCATGTGTCTTCAAAATATATTTTTATCATCTAATTTCTCACTCTCACAATATTTTCCTTCATCGCCAAGCACTTGGTATAATCAAGACTTCGAACTGCAATTAACAATTTCATTGTTACCAGCGGGGTTGAATTAGTTTGGGTACTATGAAATTTAAAGCGAACGCTTAGCCCCTGAGTTAGCACGGGCTTTTGAAAACCTTAAAATAAATGTGTAGGCGATTTATAAAATAATCTTTACAAATTATTACCATTATCCGTTGAGGAGGGGAAGGAGAATGAACAAAAGTGGTACCAAAAGGTCTCGCGCCTCAAGAGAAACATTTTATAATAATTATTTTCATATTATTTTACGACATTACTCGTCCGGGGATTTGATTTTTGAATAGGGAATTTACTTTTAAGTTTAAAAGTATGGATTTAGGGTATAGTCAATTTTATTGGATGTCTCTGTCCATGCTCTATGTCTATGGTTTTACTCCCTATAAATGACGTTTATAGCAGACATATCGATTCAGTTAAAAAATAATCGATCTCCGATTCGATTCAAACATACCAGAATCGATTTTCGATTAAATAGAGTGTTAAAAGATTGATTTTCCATTAATCACGACATTTTCAAACATGCCTAATATAGACACCGAACATTATTAATGATAATTTACTAAATACAACTAATTGGATAGAAATAAGATTAAATTAATAAACATAACATCACGCATATATTTCCCCGAAATAGTAAGCAGAGGTGTGTAGTACTCCTGCTAGTCATTATTATACAATTAATAAACATACTTAACATCACGCTTGTATTTCCCCGAAGGAGTAGGTATGTAGTATTCCCACTAGTCCTCAGTTATGTTATACGTCCCATGTAATGGGGGTGGAGCCTTTTGCTATACACTGGGCTCAAATCCAGACTCTGTGCTACGACTGGGAATTTAAATAGTGCAAACTGCAACGTACATTTCTCCACACACTCAGACACTACTCTAGTACAGAACACTAGGGCATACCGCGTTCGCCGGCGAACGCGTGGTCACAGACCCACCCCGTACACGAGGTTCAACACCCGTGATACGGGGCGTTTCTAATTTTTGCGACCCGTAAACAAAATTGCGATAGTGATTCAAGCAGAGGTTCGTATCTCATTCTGAGGGGCCCTTGAATCGCATCGAGCCCCCCCCCCCCCCCACCCCCCAGCTCGAAGAGCCTCACTCCGAAAGAAGCTGTCGGGGTGCTACGGGATTGCAGTCGTTGCAATCAATCGTTCGTAAGTCCTCGCCTACGAGCCTAAGCCTGATGAAGCTGTCAAGGCCGCAGGGCCAACAGCGTACACTTTCAGAAAAAAAATACACTTCTCGATAAATCGGTTTCAATTTAATCACTCACTATTTATCAAATTGAAATGTATTCTACACGAACACAATAGATAATATTTATTTCGTTACTATAAACTTCAACATATAATATTTACTCACAATATATTTTTAATAAATATTATTTTTATTTTGATTTTTGGCTTAGCTATGTATTCATTTATTTTAGTATCAAGTGATCTTTTATAGTACACTGCTTCACAACATGTTGATGCACCACATCGCCTAGTTTTTAGGAGATTTTGACGGCCACTTGAGCCAGCAGATAGTTGGTAATAGTATTTCAAGGTGGCTAAGCAGACAGACGCATTATTTTGAGATTCACATCACTATCGAAGCACTTGTTGCACCGTTATCGCTAATAGTTCACATGCGCAGACATTTAATATGCAAATTCGAACCACTTTAACATAACAAATACCACTTGAAACCATTATTTAAATAATAATACAGGAACACTAATCAGCCGCTCAAGTTCCCGCCAAAACTCCTTTGATAGATAAGTATAAAAAAGCACAGATAAGGTTAGAGGCTAGAATCCACGGGTTAGATTAGAAATAACAATGTCAACTTTTTTTATTATTAGTAAGTAACGTAAGTAACTACATCTTTGGATGAGCTCATAAATCATTATTTTATGTGTTCAAATTAACCACCAATAACGATCGGTTGTCTTTGCATCTGACTACAGCAAAAAAATTAAAAAAGTAATAAATTGCAACCAGTTTAGGTACTTTATCGCTAGTTCTTGAATCGGAACGATTCGCGAGGTTTTTGGATCGATTCATCGAATCGATGTGGTGTCCCACATCGATCTGAAAATCGATTATTGTACCCTAAATAATCGATTTTTCGAATCGACATGCCTAGTTTATGGTTTATAGTTTCTGAGTCTGACATTTGTAATGACGCACTAACACTAATTTTGCGTTTGTAGAACTCGTATTTTGTGAACTTTTTCTGTGCATTTAATTGTGTAAATATGTCGAGTCGTGGGGTCGAACAATTGATACCGTCAGTCTTTTTTTTATAGAAGAGGGGGCAAACGAGCATGCGGCTCACCTGATGGTAAATGACTACCGCCGCCCATGAACAACCGCAACACCAGGGGAATTGCAGATGCGTTGTCGGCCTTTTAGAAAGGTGTAAGCTCTTTTCTTGAAGGTTCCTAAGTCGTATCGGTCCGGAAAATTCGCTGGTGGTAATTGATTCCACAAGGAAGTTGTGCGAGGGAGAAAACTTCTTCTAAATCGCACAGTGGTGGACCGCCAATCATCCAGACGGTATGGATGGTAACGCGAGTTTTGTCGCGATGTGCGATGGTGAAATTGAGCGGCTGGAATTAGTCCGAACAATTCCTCAGAGCAGTCACCCGGCAAAACCAACGATATATCAATTGTTCATTTTTGATACCCAGAAATCTACCTACACATTCATTAGAACAAGCGTCTACTCCAATGATTAACTTGTTACAGTCGTGGATAACTCCTACTCAGATAAGCAGATCTTATTTTACTCTTTGAATATATACCTAAGAATGTCAGATCTCCACCATCTTACAAAACATTTTTATAGAATGAAAGAAATATTTATTTTAGACTTGCACAAAAAATAACAAAAATTCAACCTGTTTGAGGCCAAAAAGGCTTTATACAGGCGTAACTTCTGTGAATATGTTACAGAAGGTAGATAATGCCACAAGGCGTAATAACACACTTTTTTATTCATGGTTTTTATTGCAGTTGTCTTCAGAATGTGTGCTTTGTACAGAGTGTTAGACACTGCTTCAAGATGGAGCAAACACAATCAGGGAAGGATTGCCTGCTTTTGATCATAGAAAATGATATTTTTCTTGTGGCAATTCTATTCTACGTGCAACTAGAACATATCCTGTAAGACAAGATTGACAAGAGAGAAACATTTTAGTTAGACATGTTCCGCTGCATTTGGTAAATATTTTTATTTATGTTGTAATATAAATAAAATCAAATTCTTTTTAATTTTCTACTTTTCTCTAATCTTCTATAGTTGATAGTGATAATACTATTATTAGATGTGTTTATTATATTGAGTCCCGATAAGTGAAGCTTTCACAAATAAATAATGTTGTAGATATTAGATAATATTATCAATTTTGACACAATTATTGCCTGATCATTATCATGTATTCCTAACAGTTACATCTCATTACAGTACAAACTTTTATCAAGTTTATAACCTATTTTGAAATATTTTGTTTTATATGTTTAATCATGTTATTTTTTTTAGATTTCAAGATTGGAAAGAGTATGTGCTACTAGTTGGAGATCAGCTACAAGAGAAGTGCAACGTCGTGATCAAGTGGGCATCTCAATATTCCTGAGCCGCCCCCTCTTCCACAACAAAACCTACACACTGTTACACTACACACTAAGTTAGATCAAATCCAACAATTATGTCTTCTATGTATAAGCGTGCCGCTAGCATATCCAATCACTGTATATTTGTTATTTGTTTTGAAACAGAACGTTTACTGGTACCCTCATCTATTATCTGTTATTACTTAATTATAAATTCTATGTGCCACAGGCAGCACGAATCTGTCGTCACCACCTGGATCATGGCCGTTGGAGTGAATTATCTTCCCAGTTAAGAGATTTTTACCGGTAGTCAATTCAACACAATTATGAATATAATGCAGCGAGCTGCCTATTACCATATAGATTCCTCAAATATTTTAATTGTGCCTACATATTTGTGTCACTTTTGGCTTGGCATGAACTCGGCTCAGTTTTATGATTTGTTAAACTGTATCCCAAGTCGCTAGACATTTATACGATATACTACTTACAATACTGAAAGCAATCGTGGCATTTGGCACTTGTCCTGCTAGGACAAGTACCAAATGCCACAATTGCTTTAAGTATTTACTTAGTTAAGCTGAGAACTGGTGATAGTAATGAAAGGTTGGCAATTCTCTTTAATGAATCTCATGTCACCTTAGAACGCTTAATGATTAAGGCCAGAGAGTGTTTAATTAATGAGTTTCGTACTTATCACACGTATTTATTGATTAGCAGAGATGATGCTGTGGCTAACACATTAGATACCATACTAGGCTATTACTGCAGCTGCCTCGTCGGTAAGCGAATGGTGGGCTGCTGCGCTCATATAATGACGATATTGTGATATTTGAGCTGGAGACGGTATAATGACGTAACTGCGCCGGCAACGGCTTTAGATAATTTTTTTCAGGAGTATGATGAATGTATGATTTAAGTAAATGTATATTAAATAAATGTTTTTGACTTTTAATCGCTGTTAAAAAACTCAAATGCTATTATTAAAAATGGACTTGTTTGTTTTATTTTCTCTATCCCTTATTCGATCAATTCACGGCAATAACATGACCATGAGCAATAATGTCTGTCATGAATAGTATCTTAAGATTATTAAAGGGTTATTGTTCAAGACGCTCTCTAGACTCAACGAGCGTTTTTTCAGTCTGACTGGTCACCCTTATGATTGCTTTATTGGTATTAGTGTGGTAGTGTAATCATTACAGCCCTTCACAAGTCCACTGCTGAACATAGGCCACACAAGCCAATGTCAGTCTCACAGGTGGTGTTTAGTGGGTAGGCACTTAGATTTCGCAGTGAGTCCCACATAACCACGCAGCCGGCTGTCGTGGTATGCTTAGAGCATTCATCACCTCGCTTCCCGGAGGGTAGCCCTTTTCATTGTTTCTAGGCGCAAAAAAAAAGGTGCAAATCTCAGAGTTTCAGTCACGCATCCTGTAGCATGGCTATATGTTGATATAACTCTTAATTCTTACTGATATTAGTAAATAACGCTGTTTTTAGAGCCATAAAGTTCGTCTGTGTTGAACGTGTCTATTTAAAATTGGTCGTTGGTAGTGTCGAAAACATAGAATTAGTTTTTAGGTTATTTTCGATTTTATAAAATAACACCAAAACCCAGGTTTTTGTAAAAAAAAAATAACTTTTGTAGGAGTAAATATGATCCGTGTAGTTCATAAAAAACAAAGTTTGATTTTGATGCAACATAGTACGGAATTCCATACATTAATGGACATTGTCCTTTATATACGTGACTAATTAATAATCAAGGCAATTTTTGCATTTGGATTCCATAAGAACGCGTTGTAAGCGTTCTTATGGAATCCAAATCCAAAAATTGGGCAAAGTTTGAGAGGGAAGGGCGGGGGGATCGAATAGAATAGAGTGATTTTTTTATTCAATATTGATTATTACATAATACTTATTGAAAGTCATTTTTTATTTACCACTGGTTCGGAAAATACCTCTGTCCTGGGAAGAACCAGCAAGAAACCCAGTGGGACATTTTTTTTAAACATAATTTCAATTTTAAATGAATTTTCATAGAACAAAAGAATGCCGATTCATACCATGTGCTTGAGGAAGATGAAACATCTGAGTCCGGACATAAATTGTCCTTGCTCTATGAGGCAATTGTACAAAAAATGTTTAAACTTTAACATTCTCTTACCAATAACATCAACATCGACGTCAATGTTATCCGTCTCTTTCTTCACAGTGGTATTTAGATCTTCTCTCCTTATTTTAAGCCCACAAGGGCCTAATTCAGCAACATCACATGTGCCTACATACATAAATCTCAAAATCCTGTCAAATACTTCGGGGTGAACATTTTCTAATGTAACAATTGGTTTCTCGTCAGGGTTTGTGCGTGATTCTTGGTACAACTTGTAAAGATGTTCGCTGCTTGACGCCACTATGAATATATGCGCTGGAAATAGCTTTGTGCCCACCTGGAAAAGTAAAACATGTGTTTTATATATAGTCCATAATAATCTATTGCACATATAAAGCTCTGGAGGATGATTTTAACAAAGCCAATGAAAGACTCATTTGAATTGGAATTACTGTATGCTAATTTCAGATTCAAAATCGACAATCTGCATGACATTATACTGTAATATTTACTGTCTGCTATCCTACTGTTCTATACTGTATCTACTGACTTATACTGTAATCCTTCACTGGTTCATAAGTAAGCTTTAGTTTTAATTTTCACTACACGTAACAACTTAACTACAATAAGTAGTTTGCAGTACAATAATATTTTTACAAGTTTTTTCTACAAAGTATATAATATAGAAAATATTATAATTGTTAAAAAACTTTAAAGATATTAAACCGAAAATCACCGCATAAAATGTATACTATGCGTCTAAAGCCGCCAAAATCCAACAGCTTAGTATATTACTATATATAAAAATCAATTGCTCTCCGTTAGTCTCGCTGAAACGGCTCATACATACATATTTTGATTAATTTTTTTGCATGTTTGAATGGGTCCCTAGATGGTTTAGATTCACATTTGGACCCGGTAGGTGGCGCTCTTGGCGAGATCCAGAAATCACCCGTGCGAAGCCGGGGCGGATTGCTAGTTATACATCTAATTACTGAAATAGTGTTATTTAAAAGATTCTATTCATATTAACCAATTAGTTCAATGAGAAAAATATTGAACTAACGCTTTAATATGAATATAGACAAAGTATCGGCGGAATAATTTTAATAATTTAAGAAATAAATTTTAACAATGTTACATTTATATGGCACGAATAATCAATTTCAAATTTGCAACGCCAAGTGTTTCAAGTTCGATAGTGTAATGGTAAAATTTATACTTGCCTTGAATATAACATCATGTAATATATCATCTTGAGTAGCAGTTTCTAACAAAGATTCCATGTGTTTCGGCAAGCTTGAGGGTGAAAGCTCCGGAATAGATGTAAGACCACATGTAGGTTTTATCTAAAAAAAAAATATCAAATTTTATACTCATACTACAAGTACTTACAACAAATTAAATAAAAAAAATTGAATCATTTTTATTTTTCATCTAAAATGTAATACAATCATCATTCATCATCATTACAGCCCTTCACAAGTCCTTTGCTGAACATAGGCCTCCCCCAAGGATTGCCACAAAGCACGATCCTGAGCCACCTGCATCCATCGACTTCCTGCATGTATTACCAGGTCGTCATTCCATCTAGAGGGGGACGTCCTACACTTTGCCTACCGGTACGAGACTGCCACTCTTTCGCCATCGGTTGTCGGTTCTTCGAGCTTTATGGCCGGCTCATTGCCACTTCAGCTTACTCATCCGTTGAGCTATGTCGGTCACTCTGGTTCTCCTGCAGATATCCTCATTTCTAAATTTATCACGCAGAGAAACCCCGAGCATAGCCTTCTCCATAGCTATCTGAGCGACCTTGAGCTTCTTCATACGGCCAGCAGTGAAAGACCACGTCTCACTTCCATAAGTCTCACTAGCAACAAGCACTGGTTGTACAGTCTCGTTTTCAAGTTTTGAGGTATAACTTACGACAAGATGTGTCGTAATTTCCCGAACGCTGCCCAGCCGAGATGAATCCGTCGATTGACCTCTCGGTCAAAGTTGGACTTACCTAGTTGGACTATTTGTCGCATGTAAACATACTCATCAACAATTTCGAGCTTAGTGTTCCTAACCACTACCGGCATAGGTATAACATGGACGTTACACATGATCTTTGATTTGTCCATGTTTATCTTAAGACCTGTCCGTTAGGAGCTCTACTGTACAAACACTTGAGCACTTCGATATACCGACAGTCAACTTGGCACCGGTGAAGGGACTGCAGCACCGCCCAAATTTCGACGGAATCAAAGGCTTTCTCATAGTCCACATACGCCAGACATAGTGGCAAATTGTACTCCTCGGTCTTCTGTACAATTTGCCGAAGGGTATGTATGTGGTCTATGGTGCTATAAAACCTTTTCGAAAACCGGCTTGTTCGGGCGGCTGGAAGTCGTCGAGTCTGCGCGCGAGACGATTCGTAATGACTCTCGAAAACAGCACGTAGACGCGGCTCAGAAGGGAAATCGGTGTGTAGTTCTTCAAGAGAGCGTTGTCGCCTTTCTTGAAGAACAAGACTACCGCACTTCTGCTCCACGCTTTCAGTGTAGTACCACCATGAAGGTAGGAATTAAATAGCTTCTGAAGGACTTCACGTACCGGTTTTCCACACGCTTTCAGAAGCTCTGCTGTAATTCCGTCCTCGCCAAGGGATTTGCCGTTTTTAAGGTGCTGGAAAGCCATTCTAATCTCGCTCAGAATGACGTCCGGAATATCATCGAAATAGTATCGGATAAGACTTGCGCTTGGATCGTTACTCACACTTGCGTGAGGCTCCAACAATGATGTGTACAGCTGCCCATAGAACCTCTCAATCTCACTCAAAATCTCAGGTGTCCCGGAAACGATGCTGCCACACTCGGTCTACAGCTTCGACAGTTCTCTGGCAAACAGATCTCTGGCAAAAACTTTGGAGCCATGGGTCCGCTCGGTCACTTTTTCAATACGAGCTGTATTGAAGTTGCGTAAGTCCCGCCGCATGCATTTGGAGATCTGTCTGTTCAGTTGCCTGTATGCTGTCAAATCTACTGAAGACTGCAGCATCATTTCCCGTCTAACAGCCATGATATTAAGAGTGTGATCGGATGTTTTATGTTCTTCTGCGGCGGGTCTTTCAGAACTTAGCGCCGACCGCATGGACAGTTTCCACGAGCTTACCATTCATATCGTCCACTGCACTGCAGTCCTCTAGGCACTAAAAACGGTTTTATAACTCGAGCTGAAAGGTTTCGGGACTTTGGATCAGAGCACGAGGGGAGGGAGCGTTAACTTCATTAAACGAGACCTATCCAACTTAACGTTTAGGTTATTTGTGTACCTCTAACCATTCAGCGATCGCTTCCTGTTTTCGCCCTCGCGATCACTGAGACATCACTGAACAGTTGCCATCTAGTCGTCATAATGAAGTCAATCTAATTTTTCGTCGAATCGTCGGGGCTCGGCCAGGTCCACTTTCTGAGGAACCGCTTCTGGAAGAAAGAGTGAGTCCCTCTTTCTCCACGAAGTCACCCAGCTGCTGGCCCCTTGGGCTCCGTTGACCTATTCCATAGTTTTGCGTTGAACTCTCCTATTAACATCGTATAGCAGGTTTCGGAGGAACGCATGGCTCTACATATATCCTCATACATTTCCTCCACCTAATCATCGGGATGTGCCGAGGTTGGTGCGTAAAGCTGTATGTCCTTCAGCGAATACCGTTTGGTGACTTAGTATAAGGTATGCAACCCTCGTTGACACACTCCCAATATTTACAACGTTGACGAAAGACTTGTGGACGCTAAATCCGACACTTCCTTGGGACAGATGGTCGCCCCTCCCGGTGGTATAACAAGTTGCCGGATTCGAGTATTACCGTGTCCTCCCCCTCTTCGGAACTCGGATAATCCTATAATATTCTAGTGCAACTAGTCTTTTCTTCCAGCTCCAGGATTTTCTCATCAGTCCCCAGGGTGCGTGTGTTATATGTGTCTTAGGTGGCAACCGAACCTCCACCGGAGATTCTTAGCACCCCCTGAACCGCCGTTACCACGGTCACACCGTAGCCAAGAATAGCGGAACCACAGGGGACTGGGAGCCGTCTCCTTGTAACTTCATTCATTCATGGCAGGTTGGCAATCGCAGTTTATTATTGTTATTTTGCCGTTATCAGAAAGATGCTGATGCCCATCTTCTGCCTCAGTTTCCCTCTGTCACCTCTTACGACACCCACGGGAAGATATGAGGTAGTGGGTGGGTATCCTTACCCGCCACTAAACGAGACACTATATACAATACGCAGAAATTTATGAAAAATACACATTTTATACATAATTGGGTAGTTGATGCCATTATTCATCATATCATCATATAATTTTAATTTGCTACTTTTCGTAGTATCATAATACTGTGTTGTAATTTTCTACGATATTCATTTATTACATGGAACAATACTGGATAAAAATAATTAAGACGGGTTGTCGTGTCTACTAGCCCATTTAGTAAGGAAGAACTTAATCAAACTTATCAAATTCTTAGTATTCTTTTTTTATAGAACAAACGAACACACAGTCCACCCGAGGGTAAGTGGATGCTGTGGGCCATAGCCACCTACATGTATCCTCGATTAAAAATCAAAATTTAGATGCGCTGTCACCTCACCATATGAAATAGAGCTAGAGTTATTTTACGTTGGTCTTCTGTGAGAGTGTGGTCCTACCCCGGTCGAGCCGAACAATTTGTACTGTAAGTAATATAGCTGCAGCGTGGTAGAACCATCGAGTGGTCAGCTCGACCGAGGAAGGACCGCGCTGTCACAGAATACCAGCGTAAAATAGCAGCTTAACGCTGCTGTGTTTCATATGATGAGTGTAGAGAACCGGAGACCCTTTTTACTGGAAAAGAGGCATTCCATCTTAGTCCTCACGGGTGACAACGCATCTGCATTTTGATTCGCAAGCGAGGATGGATGTGGATGTCTATGGGCCACAGCAACCACTTAAATCAGGTGGACTGTGTGCTCGTTTGTCACCCTATCCTATAAAAAAAAGTGTGGCTTTACCATGTATATTCAGGCTCTATGAGTATGTATCCATATCTATGTATATTTAACGTTCAAAGTTTCAAAGTATCTTATCATTTTATTTGTTACTGCCTAATACTTACTTGCAAGCAAGCGAAGTTCAAACCCTCAGTATCAACAGAAATAGAGACAGCTCGGTGAATATTCGGTATCTTAACAATCCTCACAGACGTGCAATCGTCTTTCTCTAAGAACTTAACAAGTGCAGACTTATTGCTGTCCTTTTCTTTTTCTCTCTTCACGGGTTGCTGGGGTGCTGTTGGTGTTGTCTTTCGCGATATACTACCAACGAACGCTTCTCCGTATTTAGTAATGAAGTACATTGCATCATGAGTTAAGGCGACATGAGATATGAGGGTTTGGTGGTTGAGACCGAATACACATCTGAAATATTTTTTTAAATACTGACAATTATTTTGAATAATATATATTATGTTACACTTTAAATAATAATAATTGTTGTTGGTCCTTCGAACCCAATTTGCATCATGCTTAGAATAGATGTGTGCAAAAGACAAATCAAAATGAAAAATACATGGAAAAGATATTTATTTTTGTTTAAATTGTTATTTAATTTTGATCTCATTGTATTATACATATTCTTTGAAATAATATTTTTATCCTTTTTTATTTTTTATAATAATGTTACACATAAGAAATTCTCCAGTACAGTGAAGGTGTTTTAGATATACCGGGAGTTTGTTAAACGCTCCTGAAAACGAAGACAGACGATAGTACTAACGATACCTTTGATGGTGGGTGAGAAAGAAAATCGATGCCGAGGAAAAAAAATCATCTTTGCACAACGTTTTATAAGCTTTATTCACGCTTCATCATGTTAGTACAGCTAAATAAAATGATAATTTCACTAAAAAAAAATCATTAAAATACTTAAACATAAAACCAGCAGTGGAATTTAAATCAGCTGACTAGGGTCAATATTCGCGCGGACGCCGAACTCTTATCTAACTCGGTACGAAACTGACGAAATCCCCCATTCTAATACCCTTTCATACACACACTGCTGCCAAATATTTAACCACTGCACTATTAAGCCGTCTAATATTTTTTTTTATAGAATAAGGGTAACAAACGAGCACACAGTCCACCTGATGGTTAGTGGATGCTGTGGCCCATCTACATCTACATTTATCCTCAATTAAGAATCAAAATGCAGATGCGTTGTCACCCCTGAGGACTAAGATGAAATGCCTCGTTGCCAGTAATAAAAGTATCCGGTTCTCTACACTTACCATACGAAACACAGCAATATTAAGCTGCTATTCTGTGAGAGCGGGGTCCTACCCCGGTCGAGCCGTTTATATGTCGTATGACGTTTATATAGTGAAATTGTCAATAAGACCAATCTTAACCTTATCTTGCGAGCGTAATGCAATAATCACTTGCTTGTTACGATTCAAAAGATAAATGAAATTATAATACATGCATCTATTATTTCTTACCTAGTAAGTCGGTTGGTAGTATCCTGCCAAATGTGCAGTTGTCCCACATTAGTAAGTAATAAGACAGTGACCCGTGAATATGCACCTTGCTCGCTTACTTTACCCTCAACGCACACTTGACGTAGGTTAATTTGCCTGTATTAACAAGTGGTAAAATTAAAAATTTTGTACAACCGACTTCAATATAAATTATAATACGGATAACTCAAAAACTACTGATCAGACGTTGATCAAAGTTATATAGGACCACATGAGAAGCACCAGCTTTCAAATAAAATAGAATCATCGAAATCGGTTCGCCGAGAAAAAGGTTACGAGGTAACACACAAAGTCAAATTGAGTACCTCCTACTTTTTGAAGTCGGTTGAAAACAGAATAATTCAAGCAGGTAACATAATACATTCGGAATTATATTTTTTTATTATTAGGCTCTCACAACAATGCGTACATTACATACATATGGAATGACATTATAATTATTATAACTAAGTGTTCCATTACTTACAGGAGGGCACCACATGCATATTTAGTAAACGTTACATTAATTTAGCAACAATAAATAGGTACTATTTAACTTAATAAAAATTAAATTTAAGTTAACAATGAAGAAACTACCGTTATTACATAGAGTTAATCACCGATAACTACTTTTTTTTCATATTATATATAATGTCAGCCATCGAAGTCGAGAATAGATTTAATCTTCTTTGGTATTCTTTATTTGCATATATATTTACATATATATTATGCATTATGCATTCTTGTTAAGGAACAATTAATTATAGAATTTTATCTTACTTGATTGCAATTTTCTTGCAAAGGTGCTTATGTAATAGATAGACATCGCCGCGGCTTGTAGTAAATACTGTGGCAGCATCCGAAGCTGCCACCAACTGGATTTCTGCTTGCTCCCTAGTATTGATAGATACGGCAACCTGAAGTTATTTTTTTTTATTTGAAAGAAGATTTGATATTGTATCAAGTAATTTAATAAAAGCTCAAAGTCATAGTGAGTTCACTGGATGACTGTTCTAAATTAGGATATATTTGCTATAATCCCCACTCTTGGCTAGTGTATTGGCTCCCGTCACATTTCATCTCACATGGTTGCCATCGGTTGCCAAGTTGGAGGCCATCTGTCAGGCATTTTCCTAAGTCACTCCTACAACTTTTTTTAAGAAAAAATTTTATACCTATCCTTTAAGTATTATTGTGAGATGGATTCCGCAGAGTTTGTGTAAACAGTTTTGTGGGAATATGTTTTATTGTAAGATTGTGTCGATCTGTTTAGTAAAATAAAGAAAAAAAAACTCTTAAACTAACAAGAAAATAGACGAAACACGGCGTACATTGCAAGGGATGCTTAAAACCAAACAATAACATGCTTAAGTTATTGTAAGGATATGCACTCACGCACGTAATATATGCATATATAATTATTTGCAACGAACAACATGATTTTAGGTGCACCGTGTATATGTGTGCGTTATTCCAGCAGTGGACTTTTACGACTTTTACAAGTTATAATTATAACCTTTAACAAAAAGTAAACACCGACTTCAAATTGCTAAAAAAAAGTTACTTATTTGCTATACGTAGGGTTGGAATTTTTTCTACAAATTTATATGGGGCCATCCTTGAAGTAACCTATTTAATTAAAAAAAAATCATTAAAATCCGTTCTCAATCTGCGAAGTTATCATATGAAATTCCTTGAACAATAGTCCCATACCAATATTTTTCTCTATTTTCCACCCTTGTGGGCGGAAGTTTTACTTCAAAATTTAATGAGACCACCATTGAGGAAAAGCCTATTTAATAAAAAATTAAAATAAGTAAGAAGAAATCGCGTAACATACATACAAAAACAAAGAATATACACTTGAAGTTAGAACCGTGTTACGTGGTAGAGCCATGCTGCAGCTATATTACTGATATAGTTGTTGCACGAATGGATCGGCTCGACCGGGGAAGGACCACGCTCTCACAGAATACCAGCGTAAAATAGCAGCATAACTCTGCTGTGTTTCGTATGGTGAGTGTAGAGAACCGGAGACCCTTTTTTACTGGAAACGAGGCATTCCATGTTAGTCCTCACGGGTGACAACGCATCTGCATTTTGATTCATAATCGAGGATAGATGTAGATGTCTATGGGCCACAGCCACCACTTATCATCAAGTGGACTGTGTGCTCGTTTGTCACCCTAATTCTATAACAAAACCTTCTCCTTTCTGAAGCCGGTTAAAAAGAAAGAACATAGATGTATGCATGTCAGAAAATTGAGCACAGTTTCGCCATTACTTGAAATATACAGCCAGAGCGCTATCTTTCTTTGTTGCTCTAAATTACAAAATTACGAAAATATTACATTTAACTGCGAATAAAACCAATGTACACTCACTCGCTTCGGTGTTGGCACCACTTTATCCTCCTGCGGATGTCCAAGTTGGCCTAAGTTTGTACCCCAAGTGTAAACAGCGCGCGGGTTCCAAGCAACTGCGTGTAAACGTCCCGCACAAACCCCAAGTGGATCGGCTAATTTTAGTAATGGTTTGGTTGTAGCCAATTTGATAACAGCCGGTGTCTTTGCATTGCACGAACTGACGTTGTCTGAATTGTTTAGACCATACTGCACTACCTGTTTTAGTACATACACATATATTACATCATACTATGGGCACAGGATAACAATGGTATGACACTTAAGTGCGAAATGCGAAGCGAAATTGACAATCCTATTTTCATCAAGTGCTCATAGATTTTTGTAATATCTATGAAAACAACATTGAGAAAAAATGTCATTTTAATTTTATCAACACAATCACTAAAAAGTAGATGAAATTATTAATAAAAAAAGTTATTTAAAGTTACAGCCTACATACGTCTCACGGGTCACAGGCCTCCTCTCTCTTCTGACAGAGTTTTAGGGCAATGAAATGTCCGCCGCGATGCCCCAATACGTTTTGGCGGACTTCACATGACTTCGATATTTTTTTTTCGAGGACATGTGAAACCGTGGTACCTCAGGGCTTAGCGCTCGCTGTAAATTTCACAGTACGTGAGCAACCCGTGTTCGATCCCCGCTTTCACCCATAAAATTGTTAATTGCAATTTTAAGTGTCGATTTACCACGTGCTCGGCGGTGAAGAAAACAATCGTAAGGAAACCTGCATGTTTTCAAAATAGAATAGAATAGAATAAAATCATTTTTATTCAATATAGATTACAGCAATACTGAAAGTCATTTTTTACTTTTACCACTGATTCGCAAAATACCTCTGTCCTGGGAAGAACCAGCAAGAAACCCAGCGGGACTTTTTTTCTTAAAAGCATAATTCACAACATGTAATATTTTATACAATTGCTATGAAAACATTTAGAAACAGCATGGTAGCGATCACCTCATTCCCAGGGGTTATCAGTCATGTAGTCTTTAGTAGTATATTAACCCATACTAGACCATCTTTGGTTAATGAATATTTTAAACCTTTTGATAGATAGATAAGGTTTGCATATCTTCTGGGAATTTGTTGTAAAAGCGTATACATTGCCCCATGTAGGAATTTCTGAATCTGGAAGTCGAGTAACTGGTATAACTAACTTGTGCTTGCTCCTAGTATTTGCAGAATATAAATCACTATTTTTAATAAAACCATTTAGTTTCTGTGTACATACATTAAACTCTCGTAAATATATTGAGAAAAAATAATATATTTATTAATATATTTATTTCTTAAATTTTTTCTACAAGGGATTCCTTCGGACCTAGGTTATAAATTGCTCTTATAGCTCTCTTTTGCAGAACAAATATTATAGTTTCAATGTCAGTCGCCATTACCCATAGCAAGATTCCATATATTATGCTATAGAAATAACTAAAATAAACGAATCTAGCTGTTTCAACACATGTAAGGCATCTAATATTTTTTACAGCATATGCTGCAGAACTAAATTTGGTAGCTAGGGTAGATATATGAGGGCCCCATTAAAGCTTCGCGTCAACTGTAATACCGAGAAAAACAGTGGAATCAACAAGACCCAGCTCCTCCCAATTTAAAAGCACACTGGTTACCTGTTTAATATTAGGTGTGGTGAAATTAATACATTTCATTTTATTACCGTCAAAGCAAATTATTGACGTTAAACCAGTGTACTACTTTTGATACAGCATTATTCACTTCGTCATATTTCAATAATTGACTTTTAAGTCGGATAACCTACGAAGTATCATCAGCAAATAATACTATATTATGATTATTCCCTACCAAGTAAGGTAAGTCATTAATATAAAGTAAGAATAGAAAGGGGCCTAGAATTGATCCCTGAGGAACACCCATAGATACTACCGATTCGGAAGGACTGCTCCCATTAAAACAACAGTTTGCGTTCTATTATTCAGGTATGACATAATAAGTTTAAGCAGTATTTTGCAAAGTCCTATTTTCAACAGTGTACTTAAAAGGTTGTTAATGATAATCATGAAATCCTATCTTAGACTTTTTGTGACATTTAACTCACCGTACCACTTTGGAGAAGAAAGATAGTAGAAGTGAGAGTTATAGCAGCCGCTATACACGGTTCCGGTAATCGCAATGGAGTGGGGCGAAGCGCCGTAGAATGTGGACCTCCGGCACGAGCGGTCTGCCCTCCACACCATACTTCCCCACCACCTGCCTCACATACCCACACGCTGTGAAACTTACCCAGACACACCTGTGCAGAAAAAAGATAAAGATAAGTAAACTACTGACTTTTCACTCTTTTAAAAAATAAATCATTAAAGAAAAAATCACCAAAAATAAGTGAAGCGGGTCGTCGTTAGATGTTGGTTTTATAAACATGATTTCATTTTTAGAAGAACACATTTATTGAATTTTATGGAATAAGACACGTTTTTGATAAAGAGTAAAATTTAAGTAGAGAAAGACAAGGGCTGACTTAGTTTTTTAAATAAGTTACAAGTACGTCCGTAAGGGCACATCGTAAATTATTATTTTACATGGTAGAGCCATGCTGCAGCTATATTATTTACTGGTATAGTTGTAGCACGAATGGGTCGGCTCGACCGGGGAAGGACCACGCTCTTACAGAATACCAACGTAAAATAGCAGCTTAATGCTGCTGTGTTTGGTATGGTGAGTGTAGAGAACCGGAGACCCTTTTTACTGGAAACGAGGCATTCCATCTTAAACCTCACGGGTGACAACGCATCTGCATATTGATTCTTAATCGAGGATAGATGTAGATGTCTATGGGCCACAGCAACCACTTAGCATCAGGTGGATTGTGTGCTCGTTTGTTACCCTTATACTATATTTTTTTATTTAACAATGTAGTGGCGGTGTAAGATTTTCCGCTATCCCATACACACTGCGGTTGCCAACCCACATGCCAAGCGTGGCAACTATTGGTATATACCATTTCAAGAGGTGACAAAATCAAGTTCCGACAATATAAATGTCTCGTTAATGCTATGTGAATCCCTCGTAAGGTGAACTAAAAGGAACCCATAATATTGCTAACCCGAGGTAGCCGCTTCGAATAGGCTTGACGAGCTCACTTTGGACGCGCATTAGTGAATTGCGGCGGAAGAGGTGGCATGCCTTCCTATACTTCGCAAAGGTGGTGTCGCGAAACTGGCGAGGCCAAAGCGCCGATGCCGCCGATGGCAGTGAGAGAAATAAGTATTTCGATGCGCCGCTGTGCCTACCATGGCCGATATGTGACCGGCGGCTGACCAGATCAATGCTGAATCCAGGAAAGATAGTTAACATTCAGGCGCTCATCTTTCCTGGAAGCTAGCTCTAGTCTCCGCGTAAAGAACTCTAGCACATCGGTTCCGTAACAAGGCGCGCCTTGACTAAAGATGAATAGTGTAGTTACGCTCTTCCGAATAGGGGCCACTAATGGGCGACTGGCACTGATGGATGTGCGAAAGCGTTTCTATTCGAATATCTGTCGATAACTGGTAAGGTAGAACGCCAGAAGTTTTAGTCAGTACGGTACTATTCCGGTCTTATCAATACATTCCCCGCGTGGCGGGTATGAATAAGCATTTTTGCATAAAAAAAGGCTGTTGACCAGTTTCGATTTTTGTATAATGATCATGACAATATAATAGCCCTATAATTCATAAAAAGTTTTATTTAAATGTGTTAAAGTTTTATCACTAAAGGCGTAACGATATCCGCGATTTGTTTGTCATCTGGCTATAAAATATAATATGTTTTTTATAGAAATATAATTTAATATAATATGTTCTTATAACTCAAAACGAATCGAAACTTGTTCAATATAAGGAGCATTGATTTTGAATGTGTTCGAAAATTATAACACTTTGCAAGTAATGTTTAAATGTAGATGTCTATGGGCTACAGCATCCACTTACCATCAGGTGGATGTGTGCTCATTTGACATCCTAACTATAAAAAAAAACAATACAATAGACAAACGTGTGTTTCCATCATTTGTTACATAATTTATATGAACCATGAATGCTATTTTCTGTATTATATATCGTTCCTCATATAAGGATTATGTTCTCTGATGGTGCAACGGTTATGTTTAAATGTACAGATAAAAGGCTTTTTGAATTAGTAGTACACTAAATATATAATATTGTCCTTATATAAGGTTCCTTTTCATAGAGTAGCCAAATTTTAAACTTAAGTTCAAATATATATAATTATTTTGCAATGACCGGCCAAATTTGCAGAGAAGGTTCAAAATAAGTAATATAGGCAAATGGTGAAGAAAAATGAATTAAGAAAAATCTCGAACATTCTTTTCTTTTATCTTTTAAATTCAAAATGCATTATTTACTCGTATTTTTAAAAACTGAAATAACGGTATATATATATATATATATATATATATATATATATATATATATATATATATATAGAATAGTGACAAACAAGCACACAGTCCACCTGATGGTAAGTGAATGTTGTAGCTAATAGAGATCTATAGTTATCTTCAATTGAGAATCAAAATGCAGATGCCTTGTCACCCCCAAGGACTAAAATGGAATGCCTCGTTTTCAGTAAAGAGGGCGTCCGGTTCTCTACACTCACCATACGAAACACAGCAGCAATGAGCTGCTATTTTAAGCTGGTATTCTGTGAGAGCGTAGTCCTACCTGATCGAGCCGATCCATTCATGCTACTACCATAATATAGCTATAGCGTGGCTCTACTACGTATGTAAATTCGTACTCCTGGATTAGGCAAAATATAATGGAACCTACATGGTTTTTATAATTGTTATGTAACACCTACATTATATGTGAATTATAAATATCTAAATAAAAATCAAACAAAACATTTCAAAACTATTTTATTTGAGTATTCATATGATAAGGCCAAGTTGCATTGCCTCTATAAGCATTAGGCTCAAACTTGTAACTCTGGTTTGGATTGATTGCTGAAATAACTCTAACAATCTTCTTTGGAGGCTCTTCGGTAAACACTGTATTGTCAACTAATGATTTGTTCGGCACCATTACTTTAATCTCTTTAGTTTTTTCTGGCATTTGAAATTGAGATTTATTAGGATGAGGTTTAATGGGGACCCAAATATCAGGATCTAATAACGGTACACCTCTTATTAAACAATACGAAAACGAGACTAAGAAAAAATATGCAAACGATAGTAGTATGACATAGAATGTGAAAGATCCCTTATTTCTTTTAATAGCTTCTCTTAACACGTTAAAGCATCCTTCATTTTTGTGATTGCCTACGTTGTTCAAAGCTGTTTTCGTGCAATCTGGATCAAGCGGTATAAGAGCCGTTTTGTTTGTTAACATGCAGCATTGAATTGGAAATAGCATGCCAGGGTGTTTCTTCTGCCACTGAGAGTTGGCAAAATCTTCATAGTTGTTAGCACCACAACATTCATAATTCACCATCACATAATCCCACACGAAAGATATCAATTCATTCTCATTGCCGTAGTTATTGCGTATTGTCGATTGTAGATAGTTTCTGGTTTTAGGATTATTCGAATAAATATTATAGACTCCAGAAACAAAGAACAACCAGAAGGCGATTGAAGATATGACGGTGACGAGAAAAACGTAAGATTTGATCGCACATTTTATTTTACAGCTTGCTCCCAGAATGCCGCAGCAAGACGTGAACATGGTTATAGCTGCTAATATTATGATAATCGATGTTAAAGGGGTGAACCAGAGTTTTAGGTTCACGATTTTAGCGATAAAAGGGACGAAGGAGCTTTTCGTCACGCCATAGTTAACTTCTCGAAACACTTCTGTGTTTATGATGCACCATACACAAATCACACAGCTAAGGAATCCAAGCGAAAAGAACACAATATTTGTAAAGCTTAGACAAGTTCGTGGTAAATTGATTGTGTGCATTATATTGCTCAATATCAGACAACATGCATATACAACTAAAACTCCATATAAAAAATTGGTTATACTTTGATTGACACATGTGACATAAATATCATAATGACTGTCACATTCAACCAGATACATGTAAGTAAAAAGGGGACGTATTTGTTTCAGACTTAGGGTTCATAAGCACTATGCGGTTACCCGCTATGCCATGCCACAAGCAAAAATATGTAACCTTAGGGCTCATTCGCACTATGCGGCTACCAGCAATGCGGGTAGTAGTCCGATTGATCGCAGGGTGCTGCTGCGGCCAGCCGGAGTGCGGGCAGCCGCATTCACAACCGCAACTTGCGGTTGAGGTACCCTTGCGATTTGCGGTCATATCGATTTATTTCCGTACCGTGATAAATATGCACCAACTCTTCCCATGCTCTTTGTTTTAAACTTTTATCGGGATATTTCGGCAATTTGGTATTCCAAATCCAAGTTGCTTGCCGACTCTGAAATTCGATGATAAATTTTTGGGTATCCAACATAAACGTACCACGTGCACACAATCTCACTCAATGGCGGGCAGCCGCAAACTGAGCCGCATAGTGCGAATTGCAACCGTCCGGCTGGTCGTCATTCGGGCCGCAGCCCTCCGACTGACCAGAGCTGTTTGCGAGCAGCCGCATCGCAGTACGCATAGAAATAGATGTTACCCCTCATACGCACAATGCGGTTGCATGTAAAAACCGCAGGTCGCAAGTAAAAATCATCATTTTTGTCAGCATGTTGTCAAAAAGGATCATACACTCAATATATGATCCTTTAAAATTATTATGCGTCATAAGTAATTATGCAGTATATAAAAATAGGAACCTAAGAAATTATACAGTAACTAGCTTTTCCCCGCGACTTCGCATACATTTTTTTTTAAATAAAAGTAGCCTAAGTGATTCCTTATAACATCGGCTATCTGCCAGTGGAAGTACCCTCAAAATCGGTCGAGCCGTTTCGGAGATTAGTCTGAACAAACAGACAGACAAAAATTTCATATGCATTTAGTAAAAAGCTGTTATTTTAACATTACAAACAGACACTTCAATTTTATTTATTTGTATAGATAAATACTACACATTGTATTCTACTGGCGTAAATATTTAAAAAAAAAAGCTTAATAAATCGTGATTTTGTGATAGTAACTAAAATTGTATATACTTACATACTTATTATATACAGGTATTTATTCAAAAGATGCTAGAGAAATGTATTAAACTTGTCGTTTATATTAAACGCGAGATTACAAAAGATTGACTTGCGTCAAGTCTAAGAGGGATTGGTATTTTCTGTACTTTCGTTGTATGCAATAATGTCATGATCATGAGCTGACAGCATATGAGCTGGTATTTTATGAATGTAAATTCTTGCTTTGTTAAAAATTTGTTATTATTAGTTTGTTTGAAGTCATTATTAACAATTGGAAATATCAGTTTATCTAATTGTCTCTATAAGACAATTAGAGTATAAATTCTAATATATATTTATTTAATTATTGTAAGTAAATACTTCTATGTATACTAATAACGTTTTCTTAGTCACATTAAACAAAATCAGTGTTAGATTTTCGAAAACAACGTTCTCTTTTTACAAAATAAAGAACTTATCTTCTCACCCCCTCGCAGTCGACTAAAGAAGTTACGGAGAATTGACCGTAACTTAGTGCGCAAAGTAATAGTACCGTAGAATCCAATTAGTAGTAATACATAGAAGTGTTTGGTCGTAAAAAATTAAAAATGAGGTTCCTATTACCGCATAAAAACAGCGAAATAAACATACTATAAGGGAGATCAAATCAAAAGTCTTTATTTTTATTAATAATATTAAAAGTATCATTTACTTAATGTACAGAATACAGATTTTTGAAAAACTAAATTAAAATTACAGTGCAAGAGAATTTAGTGTCATATTTCTTAAGGATTTGTGAAAATAATTACAATCTGTGAAGTAATCCATTTTATCCCTGAGAGATGAGAACACATTTGTAGACTTCTTTGTTTGATGATAGTTGCAGGTGTCCACAGCCTGCAACAGCTACTTACAAACAGGTGGACTGTAAAAATCACTTCCAGTTTTATAAAAAAAATATATTCCGCAGCTATAAGTGTCTTATGTTCTCTTACAGACCATTGTGATAAAACTATTTTTTTTTTATAGGAGAGGGGGCAAACGAGCATGCGGCTCACCTGATGGTAAGTGACTACCGCCGCCCATGTACAACTGCAACACCAGGGGAATCGCAGATGCGTTGCCGGCCTTTCAAAAAGGAGTACGCTCTTTTCTTGAAGGTCCCTAAGTCGTATCGGTCCGGAAAAATCGCTGATGGTAATCGATTCCACAAGAAGGTCGTGCGAGGAAGAAAACATCTTCTAAATCGCACAGTGGTGGACCGTCAATCATCCAGATGGTGTGGATGGTATCGGGAGTTCTGCCGCGATGTGCGTTCGTGAAATTTGACGGAGAGAGCACTCCCCATGGCAGATGCGAAAGAAAATGCAAAGGGATGCAACATCTCTTCGCAGTGCCAATGAATCGAGCCGATCGGAAAGGGCTCGGTCGTCGACGATTCGAGCAGCTATGCGTTGGATGCGGTCAAGTGGAAGGAGCTGGCACTGGGGAGCCCCTGCCCAGAGATGGGAACAGTATTCCATGTGAGGCCGAACTTGCGCCTTGTAAAGTTGCAGGCGGTGTGCCGGCATGGAATACTGTCGCGCTCTGCTGAGCACGCCAAGCTTTTTAGAGGCCAATTTGGCCTTCCCTTCCAAGTGACCACGAAACTGCACGTCACTCGATATGTCGACTCCGAGGATACCGATACTGGCTGAGGCAAGAAGGGGAGTGCCTTGAAACTGAGGAGATACGACAAAGGGGTTTTTTTTAGCGGTAAACGCGCAAACTTGTGTCTTCTGAGGATTAAACTGGATTAGATTTAGTCGCCCCCAATCCGAGACTTTGCTCAGCAAAGACTCGACTTCAGACACAAGTTTGTTCCGGTACTCAGCGACGTTTTCCCGAGAAATATTGGCACGGCCGGTGTATAGAGCATCACCAGTGCTGTCATCCGCATAGCAATATTGTACACACCAAATGTAACTAGTTTTTATAGGGTCAAACGTGGTAGAGCCATGCTGCACCTATATTAGTAGTATAGTTGTAGCACGAATGGGTCGGCTCGACCGGGGAAGGACCAAAATGCAGCTTAACACTGCTGTGTTTCGTATGGTGAGTGTAGAGAACCGGGGACCCTTTTTACTGAAAAAGAGGCATTCCATCTTAGTCTTCACGGGTGATAACGTTCTGCATTTTGGTTCGCAAACGAGGATAGATGTAGATGTCTATGGGCCACAGCAGCTAATTACCATCAGGTGGACTGTATGCTCGTTTATGTCACCCTACAGACAAAAAAGGGTCACAGTCTGCCTGATGGCAACTGGATACTGTTGGATAGCAGACATGGACGATTGTTTAAAAAAATTACAGTTGAATTGTTCAAATGATTTGCTAATCAGTCGATGATCATTTGTCATTTGATGAAAATGTTTAATACAAAAAATAATTTGAATGATCATTCACTATCATAAATTCTTCCACATAGAACTATTTCTTTTCATGTCAATAAATATGTTATTCATTCAGCGTTGTATTTGGTTCACCATTTAGTTAGTTTTGTATGGATTACTACTGTATTGTATAGCGTCCGCACGCTGCAGTCCATACCAATAATAAGCATAGAGAATGGACTTTGCTTACAAAATTTCCTATTTTCTATCTCTAGAAAGAGACAAAACCTTTCTCTTTTTTATGTCTTTAATGAACTATGAAAAAAGACAACTATTCATCACAATAATTTTGCCTCTTTTACACTTTTCAGCCCATATTCAATTCACAATTGGATAGAGAATGCTCAGCTCAGTCCAAAAGGAAAAGTTTTCCCAATACAAATGGCCGGTAGAGATATATAAACCGCTATTTCTTACAAGGCCTTTTTTTTTTTCATTTCTATCACACTATACTTACATTAGTTAAAAACATAATTAGTAACTGACACTCAAACTTTCTTTCAAAATGTTCGAATGGTCCCGTTTTAATATCGAATATTTCAAATAGCAAGCAGTTTGAATAAACATTCGGATATATCACTCACATTTGCACATCTCTTGTTTAGATACCTAATATGTAACATTGTTTGTTACCCTTGAGAATTAAAATGGAATGCCTCGTTATCAGTAAAAAGGGTCTCCAGTTTTTATCACTAAATACAAAACACCACATCATTATCATTATGCTGCTATTTTTTATTTTTTGTGTGAGAGTGGTCCTTCTCTGGTCGAGCCGACCTATTTATGCTGCAGTCATAATGCTACAGCGTGAGTGTACCACCTAAGCATGCGGCCAAAAGCAGCATCTAAGGTATAAGACATTTGTTACTGAAATTACCAATCCGACTGCCTCAAGCCAGGCATATAAAAAATGTAAATTTCAAAATTTAAGTCGGTTGAAAATTTAATTTAAAACTTACCTGTTTTACAGAGTTATTCGTGCGGCTGAAACATGTCAGCAAATCGGGAGCATTACGTTGCTGCTGTGTACCTGTCCCTAAAGTGTAATTTGAATTTGTTCCCCACACATAAACATCACTTGGCTGGTCTCCTATGTGTTTGTACATATAATGGCGGTCAAGCATAGCATGCTCTAAGGCTTTATAATCGTCCTTATCAACTATATCAGTGTTTACACCTGAAAGAAAAATTAGAAAGTGTAGAGTACAAATAAATAATAACAATAAGTAAATATCAATAATTTACCACACATAAAATCCTCACCATGTTGATAGTAAGCCTGTGCACAGGGAATTAGTAGGATTTAATTTTACTTTTTCTATGTAAAATGTCAATGTGGACTAGTGGATTCTTCTACATTGCCCACACACTTCTAATTATATAAATCAATGCTCTATGATAAATAAAAATATTACAGAAAATTTACCTAATAAAAGACTGCAAAAATATAATATGAATCTATATAAATAAAATGATATAGGTTTGCAGTTGTGCGCGCATCACGATAAAACTACTGGATATATTATAATTAGGTTTTCTAAGTTTTATTTATTAGATACTTGGCCCTTATCTAAAAAAAATATTGCGATATATTTCTATCATTTAATATGAAGTTATTAAAGTTTTAAGAAACAACGATTTTTATACGGGGTTTTTCACACGGTCAACTGCATGTCGCTTGCTCTCGCGTTGCTAACCCAGATAATTTATATATTTTAGCTACAAACGGAGCAATTAATAACATTGTTTACACAGAAATTTTGTCTTATTGATGTTTTTTCCTTCGCACATACAAAAACTTTGTTAATATATCAAGCAATGCGCACAAAGTCATGGGTATCAGCTAGTCCTAAATATAAAGACAGAAACTGAACTGTGGCTATGGAACATTGCCAATGAATATATGTTAGCTTGTAAGAATTCCATCTAGTATTAACATTTTCAAATAAAATATTCTAATAGTGATTCTACTAATAACCTACTGGCTCTCAACATCCTCAAGGACAGAATACATCAGTGCATGATGTACTGCCACAAGAAGGTGGTACCTACTCAGATGGACTTCTTGGCAGAGAAGGTGTCCTAGACTCTTTAAAGCCCCACACCACATTCTCTATAAATTTTACTGAAATACATTATTCAATATCTGTCCTCTACAAAAGAAACACTCTACATACAACAGAGATACATGTAAAAGAAGTTGTAATTATCAGGATGGAAACATTCTACAAGCAACATAAAATAAATGTATGCATGATTGAAGAAGTAATTTAAAAGGGAGCCTCATGGCATGCAATATTGTAGTGTACTAGTAAAAAAAAGCCAGAAAAGTGCGAATCTGACTCTGAAATGAAGGGTTCCGTATCATCGTAAAACACGTTTCCAGTAGGGGAGCCTAATTTAATTTTTAAGTTATTTTTGTTTTTATTATATGTTGTTAAAGTGGTAACAGAAATACACATCCTGCGAAAATTTTAACTGTCTAACTATTACGGACCATGAAATACACCCCGCTGACAGACAGACGGACGGATGGACGTATGGACAGATGGATGGATAGTGGAGGCTTAGTAATAGGGTTCAGTTGGTTACCCTATGAGTATGGAACCCTAAAAGGAATACAAAAGGACAATTTAATAAGTATTGCATTTACGTAAATTTTTGATATCAAATTTTCTTTATATTCTAAGAGAGGAAATTTTTACAATCTAGTTACCTAATTTCATCAAAGCCACTGCTGAATGTATCTGCCCATAAAAAACGCATCGATGTAATGGCGTATATCCTGATTCACGATCACGTGCATTAATAAATGCTTCCATTGAGTGTCGTACCAGCCATTCCATCAGCCTGCTTCTGCCTCGAGATGCTGTCATATGCAGCGCTGTGCGTCCCTAGAATATTTTATTTCATTATGTTATAAGATACTTTTATATATAAATACAAACCACTTCTGATGATTTATAAAGGTTTTAGTTTTAGAATGTTGACAACTCAACATTTATTATGCCAAGAAACAAATAAATTCTTAAAAAATTACTGATTACCATATAAAATATGATTGCCAAGAATGTGACCTTTTGTGGAGTAACATAATATGGGTTTCTTCTGCCTAGATTATATACAGATTAGAGTATATACAGGGTTCTAGTGAAGCTGTTCATTTGTCGTAAGTGTGCTGCCATAAAGCTTGCAGCAGCAATTGGCAACATTCTTGTATAGAATCAATATAGTTGGAATATTTTTTTCAACCCTGGCCTGAACCAGTAAGGTGTGTAGTTAGAAAAAATTAGCTTATCGGCCCTCAAATGGCTATATTCTATTTGGTATAAAATGTAGTAAAGTTTAATCATTTTAAAGTTTTTGAGTATTAAATTGATATTAATATATTTGCTGAAATACCTTATTTAAATTATAACATTAATATGGCTTATCCATAAAACTTACCTCATAATCAAAAGCCTTAGTGAAATTTGCACATGTTGCTTTTATATAGCTTGCTAATGACTCATCATTAACAGATCTCTTGGTTATGGCACTAGTAAGAGCTTGACCATGACTTCTGGATCTACACCTCCTGGTGCAGTCTATATCTACATTTATCTTATTCATAATGTTAAAATTTTACTTTTAAATATATTTTATTTATAAATTTATCCCACCTCTTCTCAGTGTAAACCCTGTCCTTTGCTTCGTGAGTTTATATAGAACTTAAGTACTATTCATCAATTATATTATATATTCTAACATTCTAGCAGGTACCAAGATTATGATATGCAAATAAAATTCTCACTATTATTAACAACAGTTAATTATAAAATACAACAGAGCTCAGCTCCTGTGTAGCTCCAAATGGAGCTACAGAAATCTTCTTAGAAGGACATAATGTTTGTGCCAACCAACTGCAAAAATATAAAAAGATATTCAGATTCTACTAGCACCCTTAAACATAATTTTTTTGTATTTTAAATTCCGATTATGAGGTCTTTGGTAATCAGTTTTATCAAAAATGATTTCTTAGCTGATACCGGCCTAGCAGCTACAAGTAAATATATTTATACCAGAGGAATTTCACTAATTTATTTTTTATAGATAAAATTATGAATATGCATTGAAAGTAGAAATACAAGTTTACCTTTAGGAGTAAACAGATGTAAGAATAGTTTCAACCTCTGAGATAAAATTGGCAATCATATTTTACGTAACATTAAATAATACTATGCACATAAGGCGCGGACAGCGCTATCTAACGATTTACATAAATTAAAAATTAAAATTGCAAAATAATCGAACTTTCAATTCCTTCTAAAATAATTTACAATCCTATTTTATTTCCTGTACTGTATATAGTAGTATATACTAAAAAGTATTAGTACTCTGTGTCTGTGGTATATACTGAATGATACTGAACTCTTGCAGTCTTATTCCAAAAAAATGTTTTAGTACTGGGTTAAGTTTAGGAGTAAGAAGTCCAGGTTTGTTACAATATTCTAGTTAATACCAGCACTAAAACGTGTGCTTATTACAAAACGCAGACTACCCGAGGACCAGTTAATACCAACGTTAGTATTATATTAAATATCATTCACAGATAAAAAACAAAAAATGACACTCTATCATTCGTTCATACAGGTTTCATTCAATGCAACGTTCGGTTTCATAAAATATTAATATTATTTTCACATTTAATTATGCTTAAATAATTATCCATCAATACAAAAACATATCATACATTGTTATTTGTTTACGTTAAAATCTATTGAACAAGCACGACATATACTTTTGACGCGCTTTTGATTATATCAAGTTGTTTTCAGTTTAACAACTCTAGCGTGAAATGTAGTGAATTACAGAGGTAACGCGAGCGCGGGATTTGAGACGTTCAAAATAGTTTATATTGCAGCCTTATAATAAGTAAATTAAATTATTAATAATTAATTAAGTACTTGCTATTACAGTTATATTTATATAATAATGGAACAAAAGAAAAAACGGGGTGAAAATTGGAGTTCTGAAGAAAAAGTTAGTGAAATATCGAAATTTGTCAGTACGTAGCAATACTCTTATCCTCCTATTATCCTTATTTCAACTAAAAGGAATGTTCTTATTATTATAGGAAATATTACGTACACTTATTTCACAATCAGCACATATAATAGAGAATAAGTCGACAAAAACATCGGTAAATATTCAAAAAATAAAAGAGTGGAAGAATATAACTAATAAGTAAGTACTTATCGCATTTGTTATGTGTACAAATAGGTATGGTATTGTTTACGTGATTTCGTATTTTTTTTAGATTTAATGAGATAACAGGTAAACGCCGATCAGATGGTGAATTGAAATTATCTTGGAAAAGAACGAAGTTGTGTGCTAAATCAAACTTATACACATATAGGAGGAAACAATCAAAGACCGGGGGTGGCGGAAAACCTCCATCACCTTCTCTTGAGGACTTGGAAATAATGTCCATTGCCCCTCACGACTTTATCGTTGAAGTAAATAATTATGATAGTGATGCAGTGGTAAATAAAATTACTTACATGTCTTACAAATTTAATTAAAATTAAAGAACTTTATTTTCCATTACTTTAGTACCTAAGTAGTGCTCTGAAATCTACTCTTAAAGCATACAATTTACAATCCAAAATTATTTTCCGAATATTCAAAATTTAATATACTTAGTAACAATTTAACATAAATTTCTTTATAATTAATTATATTCAAAATTGAAATGTCACAAATTCATATATAGTGGTCTATATAATATCATAACACACATTTTACTAGATTATCTACACAGTCCGATTATAATTTTCTATTTTTGTCTATTAGGTATTATAATTAATAATTTATTAAATTACCTTTTGTCTTGGATCATAATAATATTTCTACAACATAGAAAATACCTGATTCAATAAAGGGCAAAATAGAGATGACAGGTGACAGGAAAACATGTTAATAAATGTTTTAATGATTTATTTTAGGATCCAGTGACTGTGGCTACAACATCAAAAGAAGTTGCTGACCCTAAGCCTCGCCTTAATTTTGAAAAAACAGACACAGCTATAGTTAAAAATGTAGAAAATCCAGAACCCAATGTTGTATATGTGCAAGGTAAATAATACTGATTGAATATTTATTAAAAAGCAAAATATATTATTATTATAGTTACAATCATATGCATACAAGTTTGTAAATATTATAAATGTTAATTTTCTAAAACTGTTATATTTATATTAATTTTTAGAGATAGATCCAACTACAGATACAGAAGAAAGTGCCAAAATGGTGAAAATAACCAACAATAAAGATATTATTACTAGGGGTATAACAAAAATTAAAAACAGGAAAAATAGCTTGCAAAATAGGTATGTTGAAAAAATTACATAGTCTGATACATTACATACTTTTTAAAATGTGAAAATTAGTATTTAAACACTGAAAATTGTTTCATGTTTTCAAATATTAAAAGCAAAGTTTAATATGAATTGATTTAAAAATAATTAAAAAATATTTCTTTAATTGGTGTACAAGGTTAAGTGCACTTTTATTACTCTAGAATACTTTGTAAATTTCTAAAATAACTACAAAACTTACATTAAGTATTCCATTTCATTTTACAGAAGAGAAGATGTACACCAAACAATTGTAAAAAGTAACACAGATTTTAAAAAAAGACAACTGGAAATGATGGAAGAGGAACATAAATACAATATTAAAATAGCTAACCTAAAAATTAGAAAATTAGAGTTACAAATATTTTTATTAGAAAGTCAGAAAAACACAAGTTAAATAGCAACTTAATGCTGCTGTGTTTATTATGGTGAGTTTATAGAATGAGAATAGAATAGAATGATTTTTATTAAATATAGATTATTACAGAATACTTATTGAAAGACTAAATACTAGTAAGAAACCCAGCGGGACTTTTTTATAAACATATTTCTCTTAACAATAATTTTATTTGTACAATTTTTAAATGAATTTTAATAGAACCACCATGGTGGCGATCACCTCAATTCCAGTATTTCCAATATTCTCATTTATGTATTCTTTGATATTATAATAACCTTTTTATAAAATTTTTCTTTAGTAAAACATTTAAACTTGTTTATTGACAAATTTTCGATAAATTTTTGTACAAAGTTTGTATGAGAGAGACCTCTTTTACAGGAAACGAGGCATTCCATCTTACTCCACACGGGTGACAACGCATCTGCATTTTGATTTGTAGTCGAGGATAGATGTGGACGTCTATGCACCACAGCAGTTACTTAACATCAGATGGACTGTGTGTGTGTATGTGTGTGTGTGGTAGACTGTGTTTATCACCATTATCCTATAAAAAAAACTAAATATTTGAGACTATATCAGATACATGTTTGTAAATATCCTCATATATGAAACAATTATTTTCAGGTACTAAATTGCTGCAAATATTTGTACATCTTTTATTAATAATTAAAATAAATAATTATAATTAATATGCATTTTATTTACATAACAATGAAATATAATATACAATAGTAAAAAACTATAATAAAAAAAACTAAACCTAATTACTTAGTCATCATACAGTCCTACTCCCCGTGGACCCTTGCACCTCTGGAAAGGAAATCTGGCTGTGAATGTAGAGGAGGGACGATATTTATTAAAAAATCTAAACATATCTCTAAAGCACTTAAATCTTTATATAATATAGCTTCATATTGATGTGGAATGTGCTGTACCCCGCATCTTTCCCTGAAACACAATCATTTATAGCCTAAATAAAAGCATTTTGCTCAATAAATGAAATATTATCACAATACTCCCCTGAATTTATTTCATATTGGTGAATATGTAGTCGTTATTCTTTGACAGCTGACAACGGCTCTGCAGAAATATTTTCCTTTATAAATGGGTATTATCTCTGAAATCAAAAAGAAATATTATTATAATTGTCTTATACATTTATTGATCCTTAATGTAATTTTATAGCCAAAATTGGCCTCTGAATAACAAAATAAAATAAATTATATATACATAGCTTTAGACAATTGAAAAAAAATTGACAATTTTATAAATATAATTATTAATTTTAATTATAAATAGCTATATAAATATGTAAAAAAAAATGTTTACCTACTGAAAATGAGTTTCAATAAACTGTCTTCTTCTAATATTTCCCCTTATTGATGGTGCAATATATCTTTGTACTATAGGTTCAGATGAATATTGTTCAATGCTATCTCTCTCACCAGAAAACACATCTTCTCTCATGTCGATGGCCATATTGTGTAGTACAGCACATGCAACAATTGTTTTTTTTGCTGTTTCAATATCTCCAAACATACCTCTTAATAGGCAACGAAACCGTTGCTTCCACAAACCAAAACATCTTTCCACTGTGTTCCTGGTACGGATATGGCTCCTATTATATCTTTCTTCTTGTGGTGTTGTGGGGTTCAGCAGCGGTGTAAATAGGTAAGGGGTACAAGGATAGCCACTGTCACCAAGTAATATTCCAGAGAATGCACCAGCCTCAAACCTCTGTTTTAGTCTACATTCTCGGAATATTCTGGAGTCATGTACACTACCACGCCACCTGGTAACAATGTCCATGATTTTCAGGTCAGCGTCACAAACCACCTGTAAAATAAGAGCTCATTAGTACTTTATGTTTTTCTGGTTTATTTTAATATATATTTATTACCATAAGATAGTCAAACAAATTATTTTCTATTATGATAAAGTAAAGTTATTAAGAGACAATCACAGCTATTTAAAATATTTGTATATTACCTGTACATTAATTGAAGAAAATCCTTTTCTATTAATATATAACTGACCCCCATCAGCATTCACTTTCTTTACTCGTATGTGAGTACAGTCAATTGCGCCAATTACTGTAGGAAAATTAGCAATACTGCGAAATTTCCTAATGGTTTCCTGCTGTTCATTTAAAGTAGTAGGCATTTTAATAAATTCTCGGGACTTCCGTGACAAAATTTCCGCTACTTTTTTACATGTCCTACTTACTACTGGTTGAGACACACCATGTAAATCAGCTGTATCGTCTTGAATCTACGAATAAAACAATAATATGTATTATCTGGCTTTTTATCTAGCGTAATGTTAGGTACATTGACCCCACCAAGATTATAAACAGCACTTACTTCATGGCGAGCCCAGTTGCGTAATGCACAAACCACTTGAATTTCAGGACTCAATGGGCATCCTCGAGGGTCGTGCACTAAATCCTCACGTAAGATACCCACTATTTTTTCTCCGAAACGTTTTGAGAACCTATACTTATACCTAAAATCTTCGTCACTCAATTCAAACGGATTCACACGATGTCGATGTCTATCAAGTCGCCGAGTAGTGTCTAGCATGTCCAAATCTTCTAGATCCATCAAGTCAATCATGTTAATATCCATTTTTAACGATTTTAATAACACCAAATGAAAACAACGCTCACCTCAAATTAAGAAGTACCGAAATTGAGGTTAGTATAGAGTAGAGTACCACAAACTATATAGAAAGGTTAGTACCATAGCTAAACTAGGGGTCTCGAAAGATTAACTTTAATACCATAGATAATCCTTGAACCAGAGATAATCTTCGTTTTGTAATAACGTTTTTCTTAGTTTATGGTTTAAATATATTACTAACTCCAGTACTATATTAAGTCCGTGTTTTGGAATAAGGCGGTTGTAGTCTAGGGATGGCGATCTGAGATCGATTAATCGAAGAATAGATTTTTCAGGCCCAAAAGATCGTTTTTTTAAATCGATATGCAATACTGAATCAATCTAGTGAATCGATATTATTCCCTTGAAAATCGCCATTCGATTTTTTTGTTTTGGTAAAAACCGTAAAATTATTTACAATTAGTTGAATGTATCCGTATTGCCGGTTAAAGGGTTGATAATTAAAAACTCGCGGAAAAGCTATATACTTAGTTTCCTTCGCCTCCATTTAATAAAAAAAAGTAAGGTTTGTAGTCTATAACTATTTGTATTTGTGAGGGCTAATAATTTTCTGCTCACCAGATGTCTCTAGTTGACACTGAAGTAAGGTTTATGTTACACTGTGTAATTTAATTGAGAAGTTGGTTTTTAATAAAAGTTTATCAGTTTCTAGAGTATAATATTAATACACAAAACAACACGTCAGTGGTTTGCGCTTTAATTTTTAGCACAATTTTAACTTTTTTTTTAATTTCTCTACTTTTATGAATATCTGTGGTTTGGTTTATTTATTTTTAATCTTATTAATAAAAAATATAGCTAATAGTACAGAAATAAACAATAACCTTTACATTTTTTGAACAAATTAACTTCCCCGCTATGAAATCTGTCAAATATTATACCTCACTCTCTAGTGGCGCGGCTCTGGTGGCAGAAAATGTCGTGGATGCCCTCTCGTATTTGTATACCCACATAACCGACCACTCCACGCATGTGATTCTCGCCTCACCCATCCGCGCATTAAATGTCACAATTTTATTACGATCGCGCGAGACTGTCTCGACAAAAACGATTACTACTGAAAAACTACCATAGCTATATTTAAATAAAAAATATTCTCAAAAGGCTCAAAGAATTCAAAATTTTATTTTGTTAAAAGAAAATAAGTCAAATTAAAAATAAAGGCTGGAAATAAAGCTAAAAAATGAGAATACCAAAAAAAATCGTATTTATTTTTATTTCGAGTTTTACAAGAAAAGTATAATACTTACTGGAGACAATTGTTTTATATTATAATAGTAAATGATATTTATTTTCTTCAAAATGACACCAATATCAATAATATCTTATATACTCAATATACATAAGTATATAATGTTTACCCAATATAAATTTGAATAAATAAGTAAATAAATAAATAAAAATAAGTTTTAATAATTTCTAGACACATCTCAACAGATATTTCGTTTATAAATTGCTATCAATGTGTTAATAGTGAATCATTCTTTTATATTTAGCATTCATTTAACACAAAAAACTGATTAGAATACATTTTAAACAACATATAATCAATAAACGATGATCGCGTATAGTGATTAAAATTTCGAGCTAAATGATTATACCTAGTCATAAATTCTGTCACATGTTTAATATAAAATAATTGAAACAAGTTTATTCATTATGTAACCATTTATATACCAAAATGAACTTAACAAAACATAGATTCTTATGACACTAAAGTTTATTCAAAATGACCTCCGTGATTTTGAATTCAATCTGCGCGGCCAGTCGTCTATCGCAGCACGACCGACATCCATGTCAATATCGGCGGCTGCCTTAATCAAGGATGTCTTGATTGACTCCAAATTGGAATGAGGCTTTGAGCACGCCTTTTCCTCCAAGTGTTGCCATATCTTGTAATCTAACGGATTCAAATCTGGACTGGAGGAGGGCCAGTCTTCGTGCCGGATGAAGTCGATTTCACGCGCCGCCAGCAAGTCTTGTGTGCTCTTCGCTCTATGAGCTGGCGCCGAATCTTGTTGGAATACCCAGTGCCTGTTATTGGATATGGTATGAGAAACAGGTTCCACAAGGTTCGTCAGGACTGTATTCTGATACACAACTGCATTCGTTTTTACACCTTTCTCACAAAAATGTACCTCTACTAAGCCCCAATAAGAAACTCCCAACCATATCATGAGCGAGGATGGAAAATGACCTCGTTGAACACGCGGAATACGGTTGCTTGCTTCTTCACTACTGTGTGCGTACACCTTATCATTTTGTTTGTTGTAGCTCTCTTCTACGGTAAAAATTTTTTCATCCGAAAAAAGAATTTCCCAATATTTTTTCCCGCGTACCGCTTCAACAAGGCGCGGCATCTCTTCAGTCTCAGGTCCATTAGACGAGCATTCAAACGATGTCCTGTTTTTCTTCGATATGCCCGAAGCCCCAAGTCTCCATTTAACACACTTTTCACCGTGGTTCTGCTTAACCCCATCTGAAGGGCCAACAGTTCCTGCTTACGTTTGGGATTTCTTTGAATTCGCGCCTTCACAGCTTTTATCACTGCTGGAGTTCTAACAGACCGAGGGCGACCACTTCTTGACCTGTCATCTACACTAGAGTCTTCATTGTATCGTTTGATGGTACGATAAACGAATCTTTTGGTTATATTAAAATTTTTCAGTATGTCAAAAATTTGAATTGGCGCGTAACCGCAAAGATGCAACGCAATAACGCAATAAAGCGGTCTTCTTTAAGCGTCCACTCCATATTTAAAAATGAGTAAAATTCTAAAAAGTACAGTTTTATTTTCATGATCAATTCGAAATTCGAATTCAATAAACTTTTTTGTGGCCAGCATTCTAAAAGAAAAGTTTTTACTGTGTGACAATACTTATGACCTGACAGGTCTAGGTAGGTATGTAAAAATTTTGGAATTGTCGAAATTATACATATTTCCTAAAGAAAATATCTTCACAGTAGGTTTGATGTACATAATGTTATTATAAATAACGTATAAAGACAGAAGTTATCACATTTTTGATCAAATATCTCGCACTTTAACAATCCACAAACAAAAATGGCGAAATTTAATTTTAACTTTTCTAAATATTTTGTTACTATTATAAAGATAAAATTTACTCTCACAGATGACAAATTTCAAACAGCACCATCTATAATTTTTTACTATAACAATAAGAGCTATATTTTGCGCTGTACACGTTTAAACCGAAAGATGTCGTTTGGTGATTATAGTCACCATGGACATGTGAGGCAATAATTTTTTGGGGACTGTAGTCACCGTGGACAGTTGAGTACTTATATAAACAAACTGTGTCGTAATATTAAACTGTGATTAGCGAAATAAATACTTATTTTTGTGTACATACATTGATTTTGTTTATAAATAGCACAGTAATGCACTTGTGCTGGAAAGTCAGGGCTTAAACAAAGAATTTAAACATTATTTATCGCAGGCAGTCATGCACCGGAAGTATGATTCTATCCTATACTGTACTGGCAAGAAAAAAACTCTTATCACGATCTTCACTTCATAGCCGTGATGTATATAAGTATCGTGGGATCATCTGTTCCTTGTGAGTGCCGTTTTTCAATTGCCGGCAACATTGCAAGTAATAAGTGGAACCGCTAGGATCCTAGTAGACTTGACAGACTATTGTTTTTAAAAAGTTTAGATATTAAGCATTGGGTACTCTAACTTTTTCACGTAATAAATACATTTTGAAAATAAATGTCTTCTTTCATACCTGATCTAACCTTGATACGCTAATAAAAATAATTGTTATTATCAAATTCCTTGAACTAAAAAAAAACAGATTTTACTGATGAGAGATCATTTATTATGGTATTTTATTTGTTTTCTATAAAATGTATTTATATTTACATTACAAATGCAAACATGAAAAAATATCGATTTTTAGAAATCGATCTTTCAGACCTCGATTTTTTTTTTTGTGAAACGATAAATTGGCTTACGATTCGACTCGATTTAAAAAATCGATATTTTTCGGAAAAAATCGACATCCCTATTGCAGTTTTTGCTGAACTCATTGAATTCTATTCACACGTATTCACACAACACAGCCACAGAATAATTTTATTTTACCACTCCTAGCTAAACGTAGTGGTTATATTCTCTTTGCTCCTAGCCTCTTATCTATGCTCCTGGAATGGATTACGATTCTATCACAAGGAGTATATAATATTCATGTCGTGTTAATGACAGTTACTACTAATACGTAGTGATTATATACTTAAAGGTTATTACTATTTTCAAAATACATTACAGCGTAATTTGATGTATTGTTTTGGCTATGAGTTTGTAGCCAGTGCCACAATAAATTTAAAGAAGTTATGACCTGTGTTACTGGCCATAAAATCTGAGAGAGAAAAAGAAAGTCAGTAGCAGTGCACACTCAAACTAGCTTGCTACATATATATTTATCTATGACTCAAACTATCAAACGCTAAAGAGTCAGGATCCGGTCTATTCGGTGAAAACTGGGATCCCAGCGACACAGTACTGCAGCGATACAGCACTGCACCGATACAGAACAGCACCAAATTGTTAAAATATCATGATCAGGTTCCTGTCTTCCCAATTATTCTAAGCTGCTTGGATTTTTGACAGGAACTTGACCGACGGCAGATTGCTGCTAAATTTTCTAAAAAAGTATGCTCCATGGCTAAGGTTTACATTTAAGCAACAAAAATAAAACTGCATCCGATAAAATTGACATGGAGTATAATTAATAGTGAAACGGGCAAAGTCAAACCACGGAACTCTGATTTTCAATAATAATAAAAAAAAACTAAAACTAGAAACTTAATTATCATATAGTCCTACTCCCCGCGGTATCGTGCCAAGAACGCTGGTTGCGTTTCCCCGCTGAATGGCTATACTTAGCCTTTGAGCGAGAAAAAAACCCGCCCTCTTATCCTTTAGGTTGTTTTTTGGGATAAAAGTAGATGTCTATGGGCCACAGCATCGACTTACCATCAAGTGGACTGTGTTCTCGTTTGTCACCCTTATTCTATAAAAAAAGTTTTTCCGTACAACTTCGTTCATTTTAAAACGCGAGAATCTGTTTCATTTCATTCCAGCAGGAACATTGATGAATTCATATTGCATGCCTTAAGCGCAAAGCGCGTAGGTATGTTCTACGAGTACTAGTTTAGCTTTAACCATGGCAAAAAGATATTTTTATAATTGTAGTAATTAGTACAACCAAAACATGTTGAGTTCTTTTAGGAACTTCACCGCACGTGGTGAGAGGCCGCCAGAATGTCTACGCAAGTAGCATCCCACACTAGGGCTTTACCTCTCTCCCAAGGGACCAATGTCATACCGTCGGCTCTCCTGCCATCGTCTCTAAATATTCCACAAGGCTCTAAAACCGAGGGAACATTTACATCGTTCATCATATGACATCGTTCAAAGAACTGTGTCGTGAAAACCTACCGGCGCTTTTCTTACATGAAAGTCCGTGGAGCCCAAACTTGTCGACGCTGCTACCACAGGGGCACTGATGGGGTTGACAAATCCCACTCCCAGTCGGATTCCTACGGCAATGCACAAGCTTTCTCCATCAAGTAATGTACGGAGATTACTTGATGGTAAAGCGTGTAACCAGTGACTAGATTCCTTAGTCGAAACAGGTAGAAGGCGTGCCTTATCTTGGTCACTATGGAAATTATGAAACAAATCTTTCTGCATGTCCTGTACCAATGGAATATCCCACTGTTTTTGTTGATTAACTTCCCGAGGAACATTTTCACCAGGACAGAGCGTTTGCCATGTCTACCCTGCCTCCGTAGCAAATCATAGGTCTATTTTATTATTTAAAATTATGTTACATAAGTCATTGACACTATGCACGGAAGCAAGGAAAGCAGGCAATGCAACGCTAGAAAGATTTCTCACACCAATGCCACCAAATTTTATAGGTAAAGTAGCTTGAGTCCAGGCTGTTGTATTTAAAGTTAAATTTAGAATTTTTTCTATAGCTATTTTAAGATTATTATCAATATCTTTTAAAATATATGTATCCGAACATTTCCAGACTGGACTCGAGCGGAGTAAGTATCTAAATCTAGGTACAAGAAGACAATAATTTAAAATAGTAAGAGCTATGTGGGGGTTTAATTTATTTTTGTTTTTAAAACAGGCTTAATACTATCGAAAAACAACGGGGCACCTAGCAGGTATAGTGATTCCGTACTGACAGTTTTTATTCCCGCACAAATATGATTGAAATTTTGAATTAAAGTGTCTCTATGAGAAGTAGATAAATTATTGGAAAAAAATATTTCACATTTATTGCTATTTGGTTCAAGACCAATATTTTTGAAATTTCGAAAAATATGAGTAAGATCACTGAGGACGTCATCTGCTCTACCTCCCAGTATACCGTCGTCTAGGTACCAGACATTCAACTTGGATTTCACATTTGAAATAATGGGTTGAATTCCCAAACTGAATAGTGCTGGACCCAGTGGGTCACCCTGCTGAACACCAACAGCAGAATCGATAACATGGTTTTCGTAAAACAAGTTAGTATTTTGACTACATTTGTACATTGCCAAACGTAATGATAAATTTCGAGGGTATTGTTAGCCACTTCTTTCAGCAAAGTTACCCTATCGATAGAGTTAAAAGCATTCTTAAGCAAGCACCTTTACAAGAACACCTCCATCAAAGTTTGCTAAAAATGTATGCACTGAATGTACCGCCGCCTCACAGCCACCTCTAGTGCCAAAGCCTAGTTGAGTAGGCTGAAATTTGGTCTTAAGGTTAGAGATTATGTGCCTGCAAGCTAATTTTGAAGTTAAGCGTCGAAATGTGGAACCAACGGCTATAGGACGGATACCGTTATCCTTTTTTTTTGAAAGCACATAATCTTGCCCCATATAAGAATGCAATGAAATTTGGATTAACATTACCAGAAAGCATAAAGTTACCTAATTTTGTAATGTCTTTAAGAAGTACTCCGCCGGCGTCACCGGCAGAAGTGCTTACAAGATCTTTAAGATGTTGAGAGGTAATTCCGTCAATGCCACCAGCAGAGCCATTCTGTTGGTAACGTCATACCTTTATTTAAATCTGGTAGTACATTAGACTCCGCCAAACTTAGACCTATTTCTATACAACAAACATTAAGTTTAATTTTAGGAAAAATTTTTTTAGATCAGATGTTAAGTTTTATTAATATTAATAAATTGCTTAATAAAAATCAATTTGGTTTTACAAGAGGTCGGTCTACTACCGACGCCGGAGTCGAAATTATAAAACATATTTTTTGTGCATGGGGGAATTCAGAGGATGCTTTGGGTGTATTTTGTGACCTTTTCAGGACCTTCGACTGTGTTCACCATGAGGCATTAATCAGGAAGCTACAGTACTATGGTGTCAAAAGCACAGTGCTTAAACTTATTATTTCATATTTAAGTAATAGAATGCAGAAAGTTATTATCAATGGTAAAAGTTCTTCCGGGTCGTCCGTAAAGATGAGTGTCCCTCAGGGCTTCATTTTTGGCCCATTCCTATTTTTAGTGTATATTAATGACTTATCTTCCCTTGTAAGGGATAATCATGATATAGTATTATTTGCTGATTATACTTCCTTGATTTTTAAACTTAAGAGTCTATCATTTAAATGTGACGAATTGAATAATTCTATATCAAAATTAGTGCATTGGTTTAGCGTTAATAATCTGCATTTAAACGGCAATAAAATTAAATGTAATAAATTGACAACAACAAATGTTAAAAATCTGAATATCAATGTACTTTTGAATGGGTTAGAATTGAGCCCTGTTGAATTCTCTGTTTTTCTTGGCATCACTCTCGACGCAAAGCTTCAGTGAGGCCCCCATATATCCAAACTAGTAAGCAGACTAAGCTCTGCAGCTTACGCTGTAAAAAAGATTAGAGATCTCACTAGTGTCGAGACAGCTAGATTAGTTTATTTCAGTTCTTTCCATAGTATAATATCTTATGGGATTTTGCTATGGGGAAATGCGGCTGATTTAGAAACTATTTTTGTTTTGTAGATGAGGGACATAACAGCTATTTACAACCTTAAACTATGAGAGTCTCTCAGAGAAAAGTTTTGAGAAATAAATATATTAACTTTGGCCTCTCAGTATATTTACAAAAGTTTTTTTTATAGGATAGGGTGACAAACGAGCACACAGTCCACCTGATGTGGTTGCTGTGATCCATAGACATCCACATCTATCCTTAATAAAAAATCATAATGCAGATGCGTTGCCAGCAGTCACCATGTGAGGAGTAAGATGAAATGCCTCTTTTCCAGTAAAATGGGTCTCCGGTTCTCTACACTCACCACACAAAACACACACAGCAGTGTTAAGCTGCTATTTTACACTGGTATTCTGTGAGGGCGTGGTCCTTGCCCAGTCGAGCCACCCATTCGTGCTACAACTATACTACTATAGCTGCAGCATGGCTCGACCACGTAAAAGAATTTTAATGTATGTTCACAGAAACAAAGATGGTTTTAGTAAAAAAAAAGTGATATACACTCTGTAAACACTTGGAGCAAACACAAGCTAATGGTGTCAGTCTCTCGACTCCACAAAGTCATTAATTCATTCTTGGGGTAATGTATATGCTATTACAACAAAGTCCCAGAAAATATACAATGTATCTCTATTACCAAATTTAAATATTTAATTAAACAAAAACTGTATAAAAAGGATTATTATAATATAAATGTACATGGTTGATAATAACCCCTGGGAATGAGATGATTGCAAGCTGTTTCTAAAATAAATTTTGTAAATAGTTTGTAATCATTTCTATTGTAAAATTTATTTATAAAAGTCCCGCTGGATTTCTTGCTGGTTCTTCACAGGATAGAGGATCTTTTTCGAACCAGTGGTAAAGTAAAAAAAATGAGTTTCAATAAGAATTACTTGTAAACAATATTGAATAAAAAATTATTTTATTCTATTCTATGATGATACAAACTTTACCCATGAATGTTAAAAAATATCTTTACAAAAATATTTTTTTTCTTTATGTATATATCGGTTTGTATAAGATACGATTATATATATACGCAAAAATGTATAAAATATATGAAATATATACCTAGCATTTTCTTCTACTTACCGGTGCGGTCGACGGCACGGCGATGACTCCCACCCGTGCCATAGCCGGTGCCGTGACAGCATGCTTCCCTCTTGTTGCCTGCTGGCAAAACTGCATGTGTTTGTGTATACGTATTGCAGCCATGTGCGTGTTGCGTTTGCGCGGGCCGAAGTAGTAGGGTTGCGTTGGGATTGAGACTCGAAATTGACTTGTGAAATTATGAAATGTCTGAAACGTCATGCGGAAGTAGATGAAATATTTTTTAGAGTCCATTTCCAATTTTTAAAATAGGGACATAATATGTTCTTTCTAAGTATTTTATTTTTAAGATTGGATGAATTCAAAATTTGACTTTCCTGTGTAGATTATATTTTCGTCTTAAAGGTACAATGCCGTAGCCGACTGCAAGCAGCAGCAGGCGACGTGTCGTCACGACACTATTGGTTTCTATGTATTTCTATGAAATATTTTCCGTAGCTAGCGACGTCGTTTGCTGCTACGGGCAGAGCTTTAGACGATACTGTAGCTATAGCCCAACCGCAGATCAGTAGTGCTGCCAACGTCCGAGTAACATGTTGAATTTTTCTCAAAAAATGAGTTTAACCGATTCCGAGAAAGAGAAACTGATAAACCAGGTGGCCCAATATCCCGCATTGTACGATGCATCTCACAACAATTATTTAAACAATGTGATAAAAGATAATATTTGAAAAAATAGGTATAGGAAAGGAGTTAAATAAAAGCGGTAAGTAACTATTTTGATTACATAAACAGAGAACCCACAGAATATACGGAACAGATTGGAACACCGGCTGCTGCCGCCTGCAGTCGGGTTCGGAATCATGACTGCAACGACATGACGCCACGACATGTCGCAGCGACATGTCACGGCGACACGTCGCCTGCTGCTGCTGCCTGCAGTCGGCTACGGAATTGTACCTCAAATGTAAGAGATATAATAAACTAATACAACGACTTGACGAGACTACTTTTGCATGGTGTAGAACCGAAATCTGTGTTAGTACTACCCAAAAACCGAATCTAGGCTCAGTGGAAAAAGGAAGCTACGGCGCCGCACCGTGCCAGTGCCATGCCGGTAAATGGAGAACCGCCCATTATCTCTTACACTTTTACCATTTTTAATAATATAAGAAAATAAAATACATGTCTGCGCATGTGAGCTACTAGTGGAATTCACCGTTTCCAACAAGTGTTCTGATGTAATTCTCAAGATAAGGTGTCTGTCTGCTTAGGCGCTTTGAGATACCATCGTCAACTGTCAGCTGTCTGCTGGCTCAAGTTGCCGTCAAAATCTCCCAAGGGCTGCACAATGTTACGCATCAATATATTGTGAAGCAGTCTACTATGAGGGATAATTATACATTGTAACTTCAGGCTCCGAAGGGCTAGAACCCAGAGCCGTAAAGCCAGTTATAAAAAAAATCTTTACATGACAGATAATCAGCACTGCCAACATGTAGAGAATTCCAGAAATTGCGGGGAATTTACAGTTTGTTGGGGATTGGTATTATGCAGGGAAAATGCGGGGATTTTGAAAATCAATAGCCCGGGCCAAGTCAAAACCCTTTTTCTAGAAATCTAAATACTTATATTAACGTTTTTGTTTGGTTACTTATGGATATCGAAAGACTCCCTTATTTTAATTATCTTCTTTGCACCACATTTAATTCTCGGATTTATTTCGGCAATTTTTGTCATTTAATGCTTTTCATTTCTTTCCTTTTTTATTTTAAAGCAGAGAACTGCATTCATATAAATGCAGATACTGTGATACGTTTTAATGACAACAAGGTTAGGAATTAAAGAATACTCCATGGAGTAAAAAGCTTGTTACAAAATATGGAAAGAGTGAAAAAAGAAACTTCGGCAAAAAAGTAAAAAAATGTTAGTTAAAAATAAATCTTATAAAATTAGGCGAAAATTGTTTAAGTTCTTAAAATAAAATTCAGAGGAATTTGTGGGGAATCTGTTGAAGTTTTGACCTTAAATTGGGGAATTTGACATGGATTTTCGGGGAATTTGACAAATTGGTGTTGGCAGCGCTGCAGTTAAGGTAAGGCAAAGTGGGAGTTTTGGCGGGAAATTGACCGGCGACGGTTTGCTGCTCCTGTATTATTGTTTAAATAATGGTTTGAAGTGGACTTTGATATGTAAAAGTGTTGCGATTTTGTGTATTAAGTGTCTACGCATGTGAACTATTAGTGGAAACGGTGAAACAAGTGCTCTGATGGTGATGGATTCTCAAGATAAGCTGTTTGTTTGCATAGGCACCTTTAGATACCATCGCCAACTATCAGCTGTCTGCTGGATCAAGTTGCCGCCAAAATCTCCCAAGAACTGCACAATGTGACGCATCAACATATTGTGAAGCAGTATACTATGAAGGAGTGGGGAAATTACAATAAACCGAATAAAAATACGTAAGACTTGGCCTAAAGGTCTAGATACCAGGCCATAAACTCCAAAAAAATAAAAATAAGGCAAAGTGAGAGTTTTTGGCGGGAAATTGACCGGCGGCGGTTTGCTGCTCCTGTATTATAGTTTAAATAATAGTTTGAAGTGGATTTTGATATGTAAAAGTGGTGCGATTTTATGTATTAACTGTCTACACATGTGAACTATTAGTGGAAACGGTGAAACAAGTGCTCTGATGGTGATGGATTCTCAAGATAAGCTGTTTGTCTGCATAGGCGCCTTTAGATACCATCGCCAACTGTCAGCTGTCTGCTGGCTCAAGTTGCCGTCAAAATCTCCCAAGGGCTGCACAATGTGACGCCTCAACATATTGTGAAGCAGTGAACTATGAAAGATAATTATACATTTGGGAAATTATAATAAACCGAATAAAAATACTCAAGACTTGGCCTAAAGGTCTAGATACCAGGCCATAAACTCCAAAAAAAAAATAAGGCAAAGTGATGGCCTAAAGGTCTAGATACCAGGCCATAAACTCCAAAAAAAAATAAGGCAAAGTGAATTTAGTTTAGCATTGTGTAATCCTGAAAAAGTGTAGTTTTGATCTAATATTACCTATTTTTGCCTTTTGTACGACAATGTTTACGGTATTAAATAATTCGGCAAGATTATCTCGAGGTGCAATAACAAGGTATTAGTTAAGTTTTAATTCAGATAGTAAATCAACATTTAGGTATTTTTTTGATAAGTAATTTATTTTATCAGATCTATCGCTTCACTTTCAACGTGCAATACTCGATTTGCATCTACAAATAAAGATCCAACTTGCCGTAAAGAGGCGCCAATAGTCGATAACGAAGCAGTGTTGGCCTTACCTCATGAAGCCCGTGAGAAAAGCGTTCTGGAATCTACGATAACAGTCCCTAAAAAGGTTTGTAAGTGCCTGTATTTTTCACAATGTCTGTTGAAAAATGCCTGTCGAAAGCTATTTATAGTGTGTTTTAAAAAGGTCACCTCTACTTATTGTCTTTATTTTCTATTTCTTGCTTGCAAAACCAAAAATTGTTTTTTTTTATACTGTCAATTGCTTGATTACACTTAGCAGAGACATTGTCTAAAGTGGTTGCTTGGTATGTAGGCAACCCATAAATTAACTGATAACATTGTTTTCTTCTTTCAGGTTGATATATCACCTATAACTGGTGTGCCAGAGGAACACATTAAAACTCGTCGTGTTCGTATTTATCAACCACCTAAGAATGCAATGCAGAGTGGTACTAATAACATCCACCATTGGGAAATGGAATTTGATAATCGTCAACGCTGGGAGAATCCACTCATGGGATGGACATCTACTGGAGATCCACTGTCCAACATGAAGGTGCAATTCTCATCTCCAGATGAGGCTATAGAACATTGCGAAAAGAATGGTTGGGTGTGGTACTTGGATTGTCCTAAAACTGAAAAGGAGTTTAAACCAAAGAGCTATGGTATCAATTTCTCATGGAATCGTCGTACTAGGGTATCAACAAAGTAATGTTTTGTTACAACAAGTAAAGTTACATAGTGCACTTATTTGTTGGAAATATAAAAAATATATAAATATCCAGTTTCTTCATTACTTAAATCTAGAATCTGCAGCATTAACATGAATAATATTTGAACTAAATATCAATTTTGTTAAGTTATTAAATTATAGTAAGTAGTATTCTATTTTTATTTAAGACTAGTAATCCGCCCTGGCTTTGCATGGGTGATTTCTGGATCTCGACAATAATACCCCTACTGGATCAATCTAAACCATCTAGAGACCCATTCAAATACACACAAAAAATTTCATCAAAATTGGTCAAGCTGTTTTTGAGTTTTAGCAGACCTCTGTCACTCTTGCTACTTGCGTGAAATAATTACCTACAATCGAGGGCACCCCCGGGATATAATACAGTTGGGGCAAGCATGTTCTAGGCAATTGAATGTTAAAGTTTTTTAACAGTACATAAATAGTTTTCAACCGACTTCAAAAAGGATGAGGTTTACAATTCGTCAGAATTTTTTTTTCTATGTATGTTTACCGATTACTCAAAAACGCCTCAACCGAATTATTCTTTTTTTGTTTAAAAAATCAACAATAAATTATATTTATATTGAAGTCGATTGTATAAAATTTTTAATTTTACCACTTGTTTGTACATACTTGTTGAAATACTCATTGAAATAGTTTTTGTTTAGGGTTTAGTATATTTAATTAAAGGATAAAATAGTTGAAAAAGTTTTAATCTAATTTAAGAATAATATATATTACCCATCTATTTGATAAATTATAATGGCAAAACGTCATTCCTACTGTAATTGTTGCTTGGATGGATGCTTAATAAGCAAAGAAAAGGATTCAGATATTATCATTTTTAAGTTACATAAGGAGCCTACCAGGAGATGGACAACAGCGTGTTATTAGGAAAACAAACTAGAAAATAAAAGAACTAGTTACTAACCCATACATGCCATGCATGGCAGCTATTGCAAATATTCACCTTACGACGTCATACAAAGTTGTAATAAATGAAGTATTAATGTAATTGTACAAAAACAGGAGGCCAAAGAAAATGTAACCACTATGTTAAAGTGAGGTAGGATGTTGCCGCCATTGTTAGTTCTCGCTTATTTGCTCTAACGAAAGATGAATTATCGAATGAAATGTGTGATGCCTTCCTTGCTTTGATTGGATAATCTGTGGAAGTACGCAAATTTACTATTGATAGCGCCCTGATATTACCCTCGGATCGTGATCGCGAGACCAAATGGTGTCCATGGTTCGACAAATCTTGACAATGTGAATATACATTTCGTTTTTATTTCGCACCTTCCACCAATTTGCCTACAATTCAGGATAATAAGTGATATTTTTTCATAATTAGCGTAAAACGGAGTAAGAGAATCCATTATTAAATTAATATCTGCGTGGATTTGGTTTGTTTCTGCACGAATGTGACTAAAAGGCGAAGAAAAGGCTTTCCAAATGGTGAAAAAGAGCAGGGTCTAAATATCTTAATGCTTCCTATATATGGAATAACCATTTCGTATTTTTTATGCTTCCGGCAGGTGAAATATCCAGGCAGGAGTGGAGGAAGGGCATCATAGTCATAGGTGCTAATTAAGCGTGCTAATTAAGACAAAACAGTCTCTGGCAGCAGTAGGAGATTCAATTGAAAAATATTATGCAAATAGATTAGTAACCGCAATTAATTTTAATTTTTAAAATTACAGACTTTTGAGCGGTTTACAGCACCTAGGGTTACGGGGTGATGTCTTACAATGATTATAGACTCACAAATTTTTTGGGGCTGTAGAACGCCCCCCCATTAAATGGAGCTACAACCAGGTAAGACATGCAGGAAGTCGGCGGATGCAGATGGCTCAGGATCGTGCTTGGTGGCATGAATTATGAAAAATTTAATTAAAACTAATTTCTAGGACCCCATATCACGGGTTCTCCTTGATAAAGTTCTATAAAAGTAGTGGACTTGTTACTCCAATCCATCACAGTAGGTAGGTATTTTAATTTTTTTTAAGGAACAAAGTTTAAAAGTTCACGTGTCAAGCGAATAATGACGAGTATGTAAACATCGATACGAATACACACGAGCATTCCTTTTACTCGTGCCAAAAAACCGACATCGAGTGTAGCAGAGGCAAATACTCTGGCCGAGTAGCGAGAACACCCGAACAAGGCGTATACATGCTCGTACTCGTGTCTAATCCTCAGTCACAGAGTACTTTCTCAGTGCTCGACAAGTATCTAAACGTTGTCTTTAGCACGAGTCAAGTGAAAGTTCGTGTGTATTCGCATCGGTGTTTACATACTCGTTATTATTTATTTGTCCCGTGAACATTGTTGCAGGTGGTTATTTTTCTTATTTCATTTAAGACGGTCACTACTGTGTTTAGGCAAACACGAAATAAAATTCTGTATGTAGGTAGTTAGGCACTCGGGGCAACTTAAAGTCTACTTTTTATCCGAATATATACTATACAGAGTTATTTTGCAATATACAAAATTTGCACATTTGGCCGTATTTTGTAAAACAAGGCTTTTACGCCTATATAACATGAGCGATTGTTGAAGAAAAATTATTTTAGGAAAATCTCAAAAAAAATAGTAGTATTGTTTTTAAATACTGTTGCGCGCCACTATTAATGTCTTGTACATGGCAACACTAGTTACACTAGTGCCCTCTAGTGTCGAGTAAATGAAAGCATTGCGCGCCACTATTAATGTCTTGTACATGGCAACACTGGTTACACTAGCGCCCTCTAGTGTCGACTAGCAGAACTAGGAGAGTCGAGATCCTTCCAGAAATTTCGGGACCGATATGTATTCGAACATTCTAGATGTCGCTACAGTAGAAGATTCTGGAAACTATCTGAGGCCCTATATAAGGCCGGTATAGACCACGACCGGGGCAGTATTGAATTGGCGATACAAGAGAATACTTCGAAGCGAAATAACGGCGAACTGTGTTTTATTATTAGTGTGATTTTAGATTGTAATTAGTGTTGTGTAATTAAAGTGTCAATTTTGGTAATTCAATCGGCAGTTTTTAATTGTCTCGAACCTCAAGCTCGTAACAATTGGTGTCAGAAGTGGGATCAAATATGCCGATTTTACCTAAAGACGACACCGAGGGTATCCGTACCCGAAGTCAACGCCAACAGGAGACGGACCAGAGACGATTTGGTGGTGCAACGTCCAGACGTTGCAAGCAGCAGTTGCGAGCAGGCCAGTTGCCGACCACGGAGTCCGGCCCGTCAGCAGCTCCTGCATCTGCAGCACCTGACTTAGGTACTCTGATGATGATGCTGCAGGAACAAGCTCGCCGACAGGAGGAACAGGCCCGCCGACAGGAGGAACAGGCTTGTCGGTTGGAAGAGCAGCTGCAGCGCGGACAGGAGGAACAAGGCCGCCAACAGGAGGAACAGGGCCGTCGGTTGGAAGAGCAGCTCAAACGCGATAAGGAAGAGCAGATACTTCTCATGAAGGACCTTCACGCTACCTTCGGGAAAGAAATAAGTGAGGTGAAGGATAAAGTTGCTCAATATGACAACCGCCTGTCGGAAGCTGAAACCCGAATCGACCAAGTGTACAATCGGGTTGACAACGTGATGGCTGACGTGAAGAAAACGCTGAACGACCTCAAAATTGGGGATGGAGTTACAGCTCCCGTGGTAGCTACAACACCTTCGCTACGTGGATTCAAAGTGCCACCGTTCGACGGGACTTCTTCCTGGTCGGCCTACAAAATCCAGTTCGAGGCTGTCATGAAAGCGAACGGCTGGAATGAAAGTCAGGCCATGACTGCTCTCACCCTAGGCCTACGCGACCAGGCATTAACTGTTCTGGAAGCTCTCGGTAAGGAAGTGACTTACGAGCAGCTCCTTGAGGCATTGGAGGCGAGATATGGCGATGCTCACCTGGAACACGTCTTTCGTGCGCAGCTCAAAGATCGCGTGCAGCGCAGTAATGAAAACCTGCAGCAGTGGGCCCTTGAGGTGGAGAAGCTGGTTCGAAAAGCGTACCAGTCTGTACCTGCGCTTATTGTAGGGAACCTGGTGCAGACATTCATCGACGGCATCCGCGACCTTGAAGTCAGAGCTGCTGTGAGGCTCGGGCACCACGAGACGCTTAAGGACGCCTTGACCCATGCACTGGAGGTGGAAGCCGTGCGGCAGGATCATCGTTCCCACCGCGTCAGGGAGGTTGCAGCAGCTACAGTTCAGGACCGCAATAAAAGCTACAGCCCTAGGTGCTACGGCTGTGGAGAAAGGGGTCATCTTCGATCCAGCTGCCCTAAGCGAACTATAGAAAGGGAAGGTGATCGATCTCGAGAGGGTAGTGCGGCTAACAGCACCGCCCAGCAGCAGCAGGGAAACTGGCGGGTGCTGGCTGATGTTAAAAAAGCCCCAAGGATTTCGATCTCACAAACCCGTGATGGGAACAGCCTGATCATCAAGGGCGAAGTCAACGGAACGCCGTGTAAACTGACCATAGACACTGGAGCCTCTCGCACGGTTGTCAGTTCCCAACTTATAAGTCGGTTCCTTGGGGACTCCGCATACAACCGAGAACGCATTAATTTGGTGACAGCCACTGGTCAGCGCATACCCGTCCGTGGAGAGAAGGAGATGGAGTTGAAGCTAGGCAACATGATCTACCTGCATAATGTCATCGTGGCTGATATAATGGACGACTGCATCCTGGGCCTAGACTTTATGAGGAAGAATTGTTGTGAGATCGACGTTAAGCAAGGTGTTTTGAAATGTGGACAAGAGGAACTTTTCATGGAAGGGGCGTTACCAGGGAATGTGTACAGCCTTAAGAAGATTGTTCTTCCGCCGAGATCGGAAACGATTGTGCCGGTTAGTCTTCCTCGGAGTCCTGGGCAAGCTCATCGTTGTGTACTCGTGGAAAGGGTAGACAATGACCTTCCATGGAAAGTGGCTCGAACCTTGGTCAGAACCACCGACATCTCAGGAGTACGT